TTTGAGCCCAAAAAAACATTCATATCTTGTCTGACATCTTTGCTACATACTCGGGTCTTCAACTCGGGCTTTCAATTGAAGGCCCGAGTTGTAGACCCGAGTTTGTAGCAGCGATGTCAGACAAGATATGAATGTTTTTTTGGGCTCAAATGAAAGAGCGGGTCGAGAAATGACGTGCTAGAGCCTCTAAACATGACAAATGTCTCTAAAGATGATATCTGTTTTCAATTGAAAAGCAGAGTTGTGACATCATTGTCTAGGAGGACAATGGGGTCTAGGAGTATGTATAGAACATTGGGGTCTAGGAGTCTCCCCTGGTTCAAAACCATCTTTAGAGGTCCTAGCACGCCATTTCTCGACCCGCTCTTTCGTTTGAGCCCAAAAAAACATTCATATCTTGTCTGACATCTTTGCTACAAACTCGGGTCTTCAACTCGGGCTTTTAATTGAAGGCCCGAGTTGTAGACCCGAGTTTGTAGCAGCGATGTCAGACAAGATATGAATGTTTTTTTGGGCTCAAATGAAAGAGCGGATCGAGAAATGGCGTGCAAGGGCCTCTAAAGATGGTTTTGAACCAGGGGAGACTCCTAGACCCCACTGGACAATGTTGTCACAATTGCGCTTTTCAATTGAAAACAGACATCATCTTTAGAGACATTTGTCATCTTTAAAGACTTCTGCACACCATTTTTCGAGCCGCTCTTTCATTTGAGCCAAAAAAAAAATTCATAACTCGTCTGACATCTTTGCTACAAACTCGGGTCNTCATCAACTCTGGTTTTCAGTTGAAATTGGAATTGTTAATTTACACAATAATAGGATTGCATTGACGATTTTTTCTGAACTCGCAAAAATCTTCAAACAATTTGCTATCGATTGGTGATAAAATTTTTTGGAAATAATGATATAGAGGGGATAACGCCTTTTTTTCAGAGGTGATTTTCCAAAAATTTATTTTAAAAAAAGTACTAACTAGCAAATGTTTTTTATTAGCTCGCAATTTTCTTCAAAACTACTTCAATGAGGAAAAAAATAAAAATTTGGAATATCTGTACATGAGGGGCTAATTGATCGGATCTGGTAGGTACGGTGTAGTGGCCCAGTGTCTCCATCTAGTCAATGTGAGGATATATTAGGGCACTGCACAATCGGCCGGCTGTGCGACTGGGGTTTTACATGGTTTCCCGTGCAGTCCTAGCTCGAATGGGGCACAGCTAAGAGTAAGACGGCCATGATACCGCACATAATAATGAGAGGAAAAAGAAAGGAGGGGCGGCAGGCTAGAGGAGGGGTTTAAAATCGAGAATTACTTCGATAAAACCAATGAAATAGAAAAAATAATTTTAAAAAAATTATTATCAGAGTGCATGTCAAATTGATGACTTCGCAAACATCAATTTTTTAAATTGTCCAACAATGTAATAAATTTAGCATAAAAAATACAATTGAAACACACCCAAATTAAATTTCTAAACCCCATTCACAGATGTACTTAATCATTGGCGAGTTCTTTCCGTTGTTGGGGAGTACTATTCGGCAGTCTGTCTATTCATTAATTCCCAACTATTGAATCTATCTATTTATGTTTGTTGAAACATAGAAAAATTAAAAAAATTAAAAATAAAACAATTTTTTACGGGTGTCTATTTTACCCCAGGTGTTCGTATTGCCCCATCCACCCCTATATTTTTTCACGTCAGTCCGGTCAACAATTTGCCAGAAAAATTCAAAAAATGTGAATTTTGACGAAAAGGGTGTAATACATCCTTAAGGTTCGCACATAAGAAACTTCGCATTTTCAATTTTTGAAAATGCGAAGACCCCTCAATTACCTCATTCCTCCCAAACGGCTTGTGCAAACACCTGATAAAGCCCGCAATTCCGAGAAGGCAGCTCGTTATTCATATAGAATTTTCCTCCTCACACCTTCCTGCCCACGGTCTTTGTCTCCTCCTACGATAATACGATATAGCCGTATAGTCCGACGTTTTGTCTCGCCCGTTCCAGTTGTACCGGCGACTGCTCCCAAACACGTTGCCCACTGCGATCTTCATAAACATCGAGCATAATTGAATCATCTGCATTCGTCAGACACTTTTCATCAACATGAAGTGCCTCTTACTGTGCCTCTGTTTCATCCTCGCTTTGTGCATTGCCAATGGTGATGATGATAAATTACTGGAGATAGAATCACCATTGGGTAAGATCAGAGGATCATTGATGGTCTCGCGATTGAAGCGGAGAATTCACTCGTTCCGCGGTGTCAGGTACGCGGAACCACCGGTTGGTCAGCAGCGTTTTAAGGTAATAGGAATGAAAAAAATTCGTGTATAAACCTCGCGAATTCGTTGGAAAATTCTATTGGATTTCTAGTGAACTGTCCACTAGACTTTTGCGAATCGTTTGAAAAATTCCGCAGCTCTTCGGCCCATTTTTTTTCAATAGAAATGTTCAGTTGAGAATATTCTGTAGAAAAAATTAATAGAAGTTGATTTTTCTGTCGAAGTTATTCTATTCAGACATTTTCTACAGAAATTTGTTTGATTTTTTTAATGAAAAGGAAAGAGTAATATAATTTCCATGGAAAATGTTTAAATAGAAAGAGTTGTATTGGAAAATGAAATTCTACTAATTTTTTCTACCAAATTTCTTTTTTCGGGTAAAAACTAACAGTTTTAAAAGTTTTTAGACTGAGACCGATTTGTTTGAGGGTAATTAATCAACTTAATAGAAGTAAATTTAATACCTTTCACAAAAGTTAAATTTTTGTCGTGATTTTGACGAGGAAAGAATATTTTTTCCCAAAAAAATTGTCCCCTCGAAATTATTTAGTTTTGCCAATAACACAGTCTTCGGCAAGAAAATTGTGGGTTCCTCTTGAAATTATCATTTGCTCCATGGAAATTATAAGTGTTTATTGGACACAGATATGCACACTCAATAACATTGACTTGATAAAACCGGAGCCTCATATAATTCTCTGTAGAACGAATGTATTTACCCGAAAGACATAAAAGTCTCACGAGAACAATTACTACTACGAAAATTATCATGTTTTTCCCAAGTAAATTGATTCAATCCAACAAAAAATCTCTTCAGGAGAACATATAATTTTTCGGCAGACGTAATTTTTCGAGAAATCCAATAAATTTTTCTATTGGATCACTAGAATTCCCAACAGAATTTTATCATGTGCGAGTTTACAAAATGGAAGAACCGAAATTGTTGAAATAATTAGGATCGCAACCGTAAGTATGATGATTCACGAATTTATCCCCACTCTCAACGGATTGCGTCATGATCAGTTCATTTTATTTCTGACAAACTTAAACTCACTGTGAAATCGACAAAATTTTATCAATTCCATTAATTTATTCTAAATCTAATCAATTAATTGACGAAATTCCACAAAATTTGATGAATTAAGAACTTAAAAATTGTCGAAGAAAATTTACCATCGTCAAAATTTTATCAGTTCTATTTATTTATTTATTGTTCATCCGATTAACCCATTATTGATTTTATGGAATGAATTGACCATTCAATTATTAAAAATTCATTAAACCCCTGAAACTAGGGCAAAACGAGCTCCTCATGAAGATCCATTTTGCCCCCCAATTCCACCAATTCCTCTGCAATCATCGCCAATTAATAGCAGACAAGAGCCTACGTGATGTACCGTGTGAACTGTTGGATCTCATTACGCTTCACTCCTTTGTTTTTTTTGTAACCCTCGTGAGGACTCAATTGCACTAAGACGAATCAGACGGTAATTTGCGACAATTTCCGATGATTCACTTCAACAAAGCCAACGTACTAGACCGCGACCTCGGTGATGGTACACAATACAACAATGTGTGCAGATAATGTTCTGTTACGAAATTGCTTCCGGCAAACAGTAATGCTATTGGATAATTTATGCAAACAACCGGTGTATTGGGTGTTTCTTGTTTTATTTCTGGGAAGATTAGCTCGATTACTCGACGGCTGCGCGACGTGGTCCCGATTATTAGGTAATGGGGGACTCACGGGATTTTTTTTTTTTTGTAACTAGGGGCTACGCCCCCCGCTTGCAAAGCCCCACTGACCCCCATATGATCCCCATGATCCTTAAGGCCACCATACATGGACGTACGGGGTACGCAGACCCGGTCCGTGCGGACACGGTCTGTGGTCTGTACACCCCCATACACGGAACAACCAGAATGTCTGCGATATTGATACCTTCATATGATTTTAAACAATTCCGCGATGAATCGCTTCGATTAAGAGTATTCCGATCATCGAATGTTTTTGGTTTTACTTGAAAAATCATCTTTTCGTGAGAAGACCCGATAAACCGCGATTCTAACCTCGCTTCGCTCGGTTTGATCGCGGTTTACGGGCCTTCTGACGAAAAGTTGCATTCATCACACGGTCCAAAAGTATTTTCTGACGAATGTGGCTCTGTAGGCCGAGCCGAAGGCGAGGCCTATAATCACATTCGTCAGAAAATACTTTGTGGACCTTGTGATGAAAATAACTATTTTAGACTACCGATGAGTTCAATATTGTATATTACAGGAAGTCTGGGGATACACTGATCCCTGCATTACAATGCGAAAATGTAATTTTGAACCTACTATTTTTATAAGAACCTCCCACGCTGGGTACAACACCTTATTTTCACCCTTAATTTTAGAGTCTTCAGTACCAAATTCGAGTACCAAATTTTCATTACCACACATCGACTTGCATTTTTATAATATAGAGATTTTCAAGTTCACGAAAAATATTTGAAAATGGGGCCGACCAAACCTAATCTGTGTCACTTATAGATATTTCATCGTTTTTAAAAATTGTGAAATGATCAAAATCGATCGCTTGGACTTTAAGAAGCTCAAGACATGAGAAATTCGCCAATTTTATCATTTTGTTTATTATACAAAAAATCGCAGGCGGCTGTATCGTTGTTATTTTTGTAATTGTCCGTGGATACTTCCATGGTCTTTCCTCTTTCTCGAATTTCATAGAAACTCCTTGCATTCCCTCGAATTTTCTAGAAACTCCCTGAATTTCCTCGAAATTTCTAGAAACTCCTTGAATTTTTTTTTTGAAAATTCAAGAAACTTCTCGAATTACTTCGAAATGTCTAGAATTCTCTAGAATTCCGATAGATGGCGCTGCACACAAGGACCGTTTCGCAAAATGACCCCCATATTGAAACCATAGACGTACCCACGTCAAAATTATCAAATTGGGTAAAATGGGGATAATGACGTCACAACTCCCTATGCTTCGGAGTTGCCTCACTACGAGGCGCTACTTTCCGACATAAATTATCGACTGAAAGAATAAAAAAAATCCATAAAATTTCGCAACTAAATTTAATTTTAACCCTCATGTTTGACCCTGCAGGATCAGGCATTTTTTAATTAAATATATTTCATAGTTCTCATCCTATGAGATCCTTTGGACTACGAGAGGCGCAATACACGGAAAAATTCTTCAATTTTGTCATTTTATAAAAACAAAACTAACTAAATAAATAAATGAATAAAAGAAAGATAAGGGAATTCTATGGAACTTCTAGCAAGCCATCCCCGTGAAACCTTGGAACGAAACTTTCGACGCGAGTGAGGAAGGTCCCGCCTGCCCTCAACCAGCTATAGAACATCAATCCGAGGATTGTTTACGTCTCAACGTTTATACAACGCAGGTGACTCAATAGCGGTCCCATTATTTGCGCGCGGTGATAACCTTGTGAAATGACCTTTCAATAAAAACATTTCAGTTGCCGACAGCAGATTCTGCAGTTAAACGACCAGTAATTGTTTATTTTCATCCCGGCGGTTTTTATGGATCATCAGCGCAGAGTTTTATCGTAGGACCTGCATACTTTATGGATCAGGATATTGTACTCGTGACGGCTAATTATCGTCTTGCATCGTTAGGTACATTTACATTCATTTTCTAATGCTTAGTAATTATTTTTTCACGTTTTTCTCACTGTATTTTTTATTACTCGCGGCAAAATTCAGGAAAAAAAATAAAATCGACGCCCTGCAATTTTTACAGCTTTGATATTTTTTTTCAATTAATTGTTTATAAACATTCTCATTGCAAAAAGCAATACGACCGATGAGGATCATATGTCCCAATTTATCAGCTGTTAAATTTTCATATTTCAATAAATAATTTGCCCATGTTCTAATTCCTATGCTCACTGAATAACATTTTAATCATAATTACAATTCAATTCCTTCTAGAACACACTTTAGAGTGTGAATTTCTGGAATTCAATTTTTGTTGACACTCTGGTAAAAGTGCGTGCCCACACTGTTATCAATTTTTAGTTAGTTCACACGGTAATTCAATTAATCTGTTGTTCATCTCATTAATATAATTCCGTGCTTAGAATATTGTCATCTCGTGTTTTCAGCATCAAATTATAAATTAAAACTTCATTTGGAATATTGAGTCACAGCTTCTTTTAATTCATATCAGAAATTTTGTAGTTGGATATTGTTGGAATAGGGATGCAGGTTACTGAAGCAAATAAGTTGAATCAGTTTAACCAGAGCAATGATACCATTTATTAGAGACGTGCTTCCTCTCTGAAAGCCGTCGAGGAACTGAACACAAAATCAAATAACTAATAAGTAATACGCATATCCACCACAAAGGGGATAAAGGAGAACAGTCGTTTCTTTCATTCTCCTGAGTTCGTCATTTGTTTATATGACGCTAAATAAACAATCAGCTTCAGAGAGTCGTAAAGACCTCCCAAGCATCCACTCTCTCATTTATACCAACCACGTCACTCTTGATAATTTAATTAATTATTTTTGTATATTTCAACAGATATTGATATTATTTGTTCAAAGTGAAAAAATCGATCATCATTTTCACTATATTACATTCAGATTCTCCTATCCTTAACGTCAAAAATGTGAGATTATCTCATAATTCTAGCTATTAATTCTGATCAACTTTTTTCAAAGAAAACCTTAGTAAACGCAATATTAAGAAAGTAGAATTATTCTATTGTCCTCTGACCTAAATGATTTGGACAATTATGATTCGTTTATTCATGTTTCATAGAATGGTATTCAATTCTCTTTTGTTTGTCAGGCGGGCTTCATGAAAATTCGACACAAGACGATTTGTACTCATGAAAACCGCCTTACTTTCTCCATTCGTTCCGTCATGTGCGAGTTCTCATTTTCGATTCGAGATATTTCCCACCCTTTTTTTTAAATAATTGGCTTCTTTCTATCAAATATCCATTGAAAATTGCCCGAAAAAAAACGAATGGAAATTCGAACAATATTTATAGAGAAAAACAAATTCTCTGACGAATGCGTTAAATTTTCAATTGATTTTTTCCACACGTTATTGCAAATATTAAATTATTATCATCAATAACATTGATATGTCCCAGGTTTCTTCAGCACTGGAGATTCATTAGCACCTGGCAACCTTGGCCTGAAAGATCAGGTGGAGGCGCTGCGCTGGGTTCAGAAGAATATCGCGAGTTTCGGTGGGGATCCCGATTCCGTGACAATAGTGGGTTACAGTGCAGGCGGATGGAGCGTTACCCTCCACATGGTTTCACCGATGAGCAAAGGATTGTTTCATCGAGCCATCGCCATGAGTGGTTCTGTTACTTATCAGAATCCACTGCCAACGGATCAGAAACATCTGGCGAATAAGCAAGCGGAAATCCTTGGGTGTCCCACGGACACTACGGGAAATATGCTCATTTGTCTCAATACTAAAACGGCCGAGGAAATTGGAAATTCTACTCGACAGTTCTTTGTAAAGTCTTTACTGTTATCAAACATTACAAATTCATGATGAATTCGTAACTAGAGGAATTTGTGATTCCAGGAATTGGTGACTTAATGATTCGTAATTCTATCCATAAATTCGTGTTATATGGATTTTTGACCTCACCAATTCTTGATTGGAGGAATTCTTGAGGTATTCACGAATTCTTGATTATAAATTCCTGACTTATTCACGAATTTATGATCCTATGAATTCTTGACCAACTCACGACTTGATGATTGCTTGATTTTTTTAAATATTCAGAACTCGTGATTCTATGAATTCGTAACCCATTCAAGAATATGGGACTTTATGGATTCGTGGCATAACGATTTGTATAATCTGTTCACGAATTCATGACTCCATGCATTCTTAAATAACTCATGATTCCATCAATTCGTGATCCGTTCACGAATTCGTGATTTTATGAATTCCTGGTCTTTCCACAAATCGGTGAATTCATGTATCCATGACCTATGCACGACGTCGTGATTCCATGAATCCGTGATCCATTCACGAATTTCTGTCTTTATGTATTCATGACCTATCCACAAATCCGTGACTCCATGAATCCATTGCCTATCCATGAATTTGTGATTCCATGAATTCGCAACCCATTCACTAATTAGTGATTCCGTGAATTCGTAACCCATTCCCGAATTCATGATTCCATGAATTTCTCTTTTATTCATAACTTCGTGATTTTCAGAATTCGTGATCTTTCCACAAATCCGCGAGTCCATGAATTCATGACCTGTTCACGAATTTGTGACTTCATGAATTCATAATCTGCTCACGAATTCTTGATTCCATGAATTCCTAACCGATTCACAGATTCATGACTCCATGAATGCAAGAGTTTCTGACCTTTACTTATTCATTGCCTCACGCAATATCATTTTTCAGGAATGGCATCGCGATCCAATTTTGGTATGGCTTCCAGTTGTTGAACCGGAAGTTCCGAGTGTCGAGAGATTTCTCCCTGATCAACCCATGAACCTCATCAGGCAGGGAAAATTTCATCAAGTACCGTTGATAACTGGAATCACTAAAGACGAATTCGGTGGGAGAGTTATCCGTAAGTGATAACAATTTACAATTCCCTCCGTTTTTTTTTATGTCTCACGTCCGATGATTTCTGCAGCCGCTGTGGAAGCGGCGAGAGCTGGAAATAACACAATCTTCGATGATATAAATGCCAATTGGACGAGAATTGTTCCGATTATTGCTCTCTACGAACGGGAGACAGCTAGGTCTGCATCTGTGAGTGAGGAGTTGAGACAATTCTACCTGAAGGGGAAACCTGCTGGTTTGGATAACTACCACGGCCTCGCTGAGGTATATAGTAGTGGATCATGGGCTCGAAATGATCGAATTGAATCTGAAAACCAATCAATGCGCGGAACAGATACAAATAAATTTGATTAGAATTTTGAATTTTGAATTTTGAATCCGAATGGGAAAAATTTTTTTGTTCAGCGATTGGTTTTCTGCAGGAAAACAACAGAAACCCCTCCGCCTCCCCTCCTACATTTCCTCCTCGCTCGATTACCTTTAAGGATGTTCGACTCCCTTTTAGCCAAAATTGACGTTGTTTTCATTTTTCTGGCAAATTATCGATGGGAGTGACGTGAAAAAATATAACGATTTTGTGGTTTGTCATTCTTTAATGGCTCACGAAGTTGCGTACTGGTGCGATAATTTTCATGCGTTTTTTCTACAGTTTTATGATTCTTTTTAAAAGTTTAGAGAAAACGCAGGAAAATGTTCGCACTACCTTAAAATGTCGTCAGTCATTAAATAATGACGAAACGCAAAAACGTTATATTTTTTCACGTCAATTCCACCATAAGTTTGCCAGAAAAATTAAAAAAACGTGAATTTTGGCAGAAAGGGTGTAGAACATCCTTAAATCAGGGCTTGAAAAGTATATTTCAATGCCTTCTTAATTAAATTGAAAAATGGTGAGAACAGCATCATTGCTTATCAAGTTACACAATACCGTCATGAGCTTTTTATGTAAAAATCTCTATCTCTATTAAACTCAGGCACCAGTCTATTATGTTGAATACATATTTATATTGATTCATGGTCCCGACTAACTTCTGACAGAAACTGGGTTAAACTCTGGCTAAATCCTGAATAAACCCTGATTAAATCCCGGCTATACACTGATTAAACCTTGATTGAACCTTGATTAAACCCGGACTGAAAGCGAATTCGAGTCTTGAGAGGGTCTGAACGTAGAATTACTCGGCAGAACGAAATAATACGCACAATTTTGATGGCATTTCAATTGATGATAGTGCTATGATACGAAAAAATAGAAAAAGAGAACAGGGAAATGAGAATTTTTAAAGAGAGAACCCACTCGGAAGCAAATTGCTAGTTTATTAGTGCGTATTGTGTCACGAATTGATAACTCATTAACAAAGCGTCCTTTTGAGTCACCAATAGTGGGAATAGCTTTTTAACAAGTATTATCTTCCAGATCTGGGCCGATGGTGTCATCGGTTTCTCCGTCCACCGTCTCGCCAAAATGATGGCCGAATTCTCCAGTCAACCTGTGTATTATTACAAATTCTCTTATCAAGGACGATACAGTCACGCAAACTGGGCCGATAATACCACTTACGGTGAGTCCAGACGTCTAAATAATCTATATTTTCAGCGAACTTTTCCTTATTCCATTTGTGACGCAGGTGTTGTTCATCACGATGACTTATTGTACCTATTCAACATCAGTTTCTTTCCATACTTCGAGGAAAATTCTCCGGAAATTCCCACTGTCGAGAGGCAGACCGCCATGTGGGCGCACTTTGCTAAAACCGGTGAACCGATACCCAAGGATAATAAGCTGTTTGCAAACACAACATGGACCAAATTTACATTGAACAATAATGCTTATTTGGGTATTGGTGATGAACTCACAATGAAGACTGGCTTGTACGCTGAGAGAATGAACTTGTGGGAGAAATTGTTTCCCTTGAATGCACTGCTGTGAACAACTATCTCTCATTATGTTTATCCATATTGTTACTACTGAATTTTTGTTTTATTATTAATTATTAACATGTTGCAGTATGGTGTAACGAACTGTATGTTTATGAGTAAAGTAACTGACCGAGTAAAACGATGTTGTGAAGTTGTGAGCCCATTTATTGGAGGAGAGTTCAGTAAATTCATTACTGATTTCATTATTGTACTTTGTGTTCATTAAATTTGATCCGGTAATTGGCCGTGTGTTTGGGCCTGCGTGAAATAGACATTTAATGGAAATATATTGGGGGGAAAGAATAATCAACAAGTGGGAAATTCCTTTCGTCACAACATTTTCCTCCCGAATGGAATTTTTATGACAGTGGGTTTTAAATGAAATTTAATGATTTATTAAATTCAACATTTCTCAATGTTGGTAGCCAACATTCTCTGAACGTTGAAATTTTTTCTTTCTTTGAGTATTGATTTTGTCGATAAGAATACTTCAGCCTAAATTTACTAACTTTTCACCATTGGCCCAACATTGTCCCAACGTTGGCAGCCGACATTCTCCTAACGTTCAATTTTTTAATATTTTCTTGAGTATTGATTTTTTGGTAAGAAATTTTCTACCTAAATTGCCTAACTTTTCAGCATTGGCCCAACGTCGGATCAACATTGTCCCAATGTTGGCCGCCGACGTTGTATCAACGTTAAAACTTTTTATCTTTTGCTGAGTATTGATTTTTTCGATAAGAATTGTTCAGCCTAAATTGCCTCATTTTTCAACACTAGCCCAACGTTGGCAGCCAACATCACCCCAACATAAAAATTTTCACTTTTCCCTGAACATGGACTTTTAAAATAAGAATTTCGGCTAAATTTCTTCAACCTAAATTTCCTAACTTTTGTGCATTGGAGTTTGTAATGAAAAACTAAAAAAAAATAAAGCGAAAAAGATTCAAATTAAATTAAAATCTGTCGACTTCATTTTACCATCAAATGCATCAATTAAATTGCATGAGAAAAATTTGAAAAAAAATCATGAATTCAGGGTCATTTAAATTCGATTTTACATAGAATTATTATTTTTTTAACATTCCTTGTTTGTGAAGAAATAAACGAAAATACAAAAATGATTCTTAACGGTTCAATATCGAGATTCCAATTGAAACCTGCAAAGTTTAAACAATAAAATGTTCGACTACAAAAGTAGAAAAGCCTTTCACTGGAGAAAAAATAGCCAAAATACTTGGATATCATAACATTAAACCAAATATCTCCGTAAATACCAGACTGGAGGCCTTCGGGCGATGGCCAGTCGCAAATCCCTTGCGGCAAATCACGTCAAAAATAAAAAATGAATACTTGGATATCCATAATAGGATTCCAATAGAAATACAATAGGATTGCCTAACGAATCTACTGATTTTTTCATACGCAACATCATGAAGACGTTTCCGAGAATTACTCGCTCTCGTAACGAATCAATCCGCATAAAAAAACCAAATGACATGATTTGCGTCTCAAACCATGACGTTGATATATTATCCATCCTCAATGTCACTCCGCAATTTGAAATAATGCTTCTATTCAGAAGTAATGCAAATTATAGGCATCAATAATTACGCTAGTCCTCATTAAAAAGAAATTATCCGACCGCAAGTTATGTTCTGAAAATAAACCAGGCTCGCACAATTTCTGGATCTTTCAGCTGTGCAAATAAGGAAGACAAAAGACAAATACTAGCAGGAAATTGATTAAAATATCAACAAGACATATTTGCCCAACAAAATTCTTTTCAAATCCTCATTTATTACGGAGGACTTAACACTGACAATTCAATGAATCTCGACAACGTTTGATAAAAAATCAGGAAACCTCCTTCGCTTCAGTAAAATACGTAGTAAAAATTGTGAATATTTTTTAGACTCGAGTTTTAGGCCTGTATTTTACAAATTGCTCTTGGATATATTTTTTTAAACGAAGAAATTATTACAAGAGATTCTTAAATTTTATCATTTTGTTTATTATCAAAAAGTGAAGAATTAACATGTAAATTTATTATTCATGAATCTTTTTTATTAAATAAAAAATTTGAAAGATTTCAATTTCATGTCACGTATGAAAAAAATTAATAGAGAAAAATTAATAGCGAATTCTCTAAACAATTCTATTGGATTTCCACTGACTTTTCTATTAGTTTTTGGTCAATAGAATTCTATTTTCGTGTACAACTTTTTCTATTAAGATATTCTTCCCAAAATTTCCGCGGCTTAAATTTTCCAAGTTTATTTGTTTGATTTTCTTGATGAAAAGAAAAGAAGAATAGAATGAAAAACTTAGAAAATTTGAGCCGAGGGACTTCTATAGAAAAATCTCAATTTGTAGGGTAGGGGATTAGATGTGATAAGTAAATGCGAGATTTAAAGATAAAAATTTATTTGAATTTAGATGACGTTTTACAAACAGGTGAAGAATTTAGGCGCAGAATTTGTACTGGTCCTCGTTGTGTTTCGGTCGGGCATTATACCTACACCTATCGATTGTAGAATCATTCCGAAAGTTTTCGAATCTTCCAGCGAGACAACAGCAGAAATAATATGGATTGGTTTGAGAGACGTTAGACTACTTAAATTTAAAGAGACACTACAAAAAACTTGAAAAATTTGAGCCGAAGAAATTCTATAAAAAATATTTCAACAGAATGATTTGGATAGAAAAATCGCATTCTATTGTCTTTCTCTACGGAATATTTTCTATTGAACACTCCAATAGAATCGCCCAAAAACCAATAGAAAGTTCAGTAGAAATCCAATAAAATCGATAAAATATCGAATTAAAGAATTTTTAAAAAATCCATGAAATATCCCATTTTAACCACAAACAGTGAACACACAATCACTGACAACGTACACTGACAACATACTTAAACATCACTTCTAACAGCTATAAAAAAACGAGTATTTTGTCAAAAATAAGGAGAGACCCAAATCTCTCATATTTTGGGGTCTGACGGCTGCAACTCGACGAGAGCCTCACTGAGCTCCCAGAATTTCTTCCCCTTCGCGGGGTCCTTGACCCCATCAGTCAATGAAGCTTCACGACAGTCTGCGAAGTACTTCCCAGTGACGCCATTAACTTCATCGGAAACCGCGAGATGTATAGTAGTTTGAGCCCCCTGGACTGGGGACTTGAAGAAACCCTTGACGATGAGCTGCACTCCCCAGGATAACGGTGCTGGCACATTCTTCCAGATTCCACTGTCAATCAGACCCGGATGAAGGCAGTTGACGGTCACCCCGGTTCCTTCCAACCTCTTGGCGAGCTCGAGACCCCAGACGAGGTTCGCGTATTTCGATACGTAGTAGAGGTACGCGGGGAGCGAACCCGTTGGATTGACATTTTCAAGATTCAGTGAAGCTATACGGTACATGCACGAGGCGACTATGACGATTCTGCTTGGTGCTGAGCGTTTCAGCAAATCTAAAATACAGCGATATTTCGTGATTTGATGTGTTGTCACGTATGAATTTTATTAAAAAATATGGCACTTTCTAACGACTTCATTGCGATTTTGAATAAAAATATGCGAATAAATTGATTGAATTTCAGACAATATTTTTATTAGACTCCACGATAGATAGAATTCCAACAGAACGGGAATGGAATTTTGTGTGGAATTTGTTGGGTCTTCTAGTGATTTTTTTCCTATTGATAATATTGATAAATTGGGGTATTTCACGATCTACATTTTCTATAGAAGAATCTCTCACAGCTGCATTTATATAGAATCTACCAGAAACCCGATTCAATTGCAATTTTCCTATTGAATTTTTTGAGAACTTCATATTGAGCTTTCTATAGCAGGCGGTGCTATAGGATTTTCATATGTATTGATAGCAGCGTGTGCTATAGAATCTTGCATAGTAGGTCTTTTCATAAGTTTTAATAACCCCTCATTATTTTTTTTCATACGATTTTTGGGAGCCATAATTTCAAGGGCTGCTATAGAAAATATATTTTCCATAGATTGTTCTATAAAATTTTTGTATCACACCTTCCTGATTGTCTATAATCTTCCTTTTCTACGGAATTTTCTGCTGCGCTCTTTATACCCTATTTTCTATAGACACACTCGACAAATTAATATCAAACTTTCTATAGCGATTATTCTATAGAGTCTCTTGCAACAACTCTTTTCATGAGTATAAGTAATCGCATTTGGCGTTTAGAAGATTTTCCAGAGAAATGTATTCTATAGATTACTATAGAAAATAGTTGATATAATATTATAGAAAACGTGATTAAATGATACCTCTTAGATTCTATAGAGGCCCTCAACTTTTTCCTCTTTCTGAGCCCAAAGGATATCGACGTGTCTATAGAAACATTCAACATCAAATAATTATCAAGATTTCTATAGCAATTAGTCTATAGAATTTTTTTCAACAAATCTTTTTATGGGCAAATAATAGCATTTAACTCTTTCGCAAGATTTTGCAGATAAATACTTGCTATATAAAAACATGAGTTAGGTACATCTCTTAGATTCTATATAACGCCCTATAGAATGGCTATAGAATTTTATAGTGGGTATATAGAATTATTGAATAGTCTATAGAATTTCCAGTAGCATCCGTTATATGCCTTTTTCTATAAACACTCAACATGAAATGATTATGAAGATTTCTATAGCGATTATTCTATAGAAGCTTTTGCAGCAAATATTCTCATCAGTAAATAATACCACTTGGCTTTTTCGTAAGATTTTCCAAACGAATATTTCCTATAGATCGCTATAGAAAACAATATTCTACATAAATTGTTATAAAAAATATAATTTAATTACATCTTTTAAATTCTCTATAGCGCACTTTTTTATCAAATTTTCAGTGACACTGACAATGTTCTATAGAAATATAAAATATTTATCAAAATTTCTATAGCTTTTATTCTATAGAATCTTCAGCACCAAATCGTTTCATGAGTAAATAATACTATTTAGCTTTTTCGTAAGATCAAGGTGTGCGAAAGAGGTATAAAAATTTCTCAATTTTCCCGAAACCATATCACGCACTCATCGAATATTTACCTATAAGTAGATGTGTCAGCAGAAATGGCCCATACTGATTAGTAGCCATTGTCGCTTCTAATCCGTCCTCAGTTAATTTCTTTCTGAATACCTCAGCAGTACCGGCATTATGAATCAACACATCCAATCGTCTCTCCTCACGATTAACGACATCAGCGAATTCTCGCACTGATTTCAACGACGACAGATCCAGTTTCCGTACGATAATATCGTTGTTACCAGTCTCACTGGCGAATTCATCTGCATTAATGAGAAATGTGAGTGATAAATTTACCGTTTGTGCATCGCCAGTAAAACCGAAGTGCATCGCACTTTATAGGTGATGCACAGGAAGCGCTAGGAGGTGTTCTCACAGCTGAATATCATTAACATATTTTAACGAGTCGGTGTTACTCTCGTCCATTAACTATTTCAATTATTCAATGCGTCGATGATATAATGGTGGCACGTCTTTACAAATAGATGTCTACGTCTACGATATTTTAACTAATTTTATTTTAATTCATACATTTCATTTGTTGGAATTAGAAGAATTTTTTCGTAACTCACGAAAAAATTTAAGATAAAAATCTTAAAAATATTACAAATTTAGATAATTGTATTGGATTTCTATTGAAATTTCTATTAGTTTTTGGCCGATTCTATTGAGATACTTTCTATAGAATTTCGTCTGCCCAAATTTTTCAAGATTTTTCGTTTCATTTTCTTCATGAGAAGAAAAGAAAAATAGAATAAAAAATACTTGGAAAATTTGGGCCGAGGGAATTCTATAGAAAAATTCTTTGGATTTTTTCCCCTATAGAACATTCTCTATAGAATATTTCAATAGAATGGGTTAAAACTAATAGAAAATTCAATAGAAATTCTATAGAAAATATTTCAATTCTCTTGAGATATTTGCTATAGAATTTTTTTGACTCAAATTTTCAAAGATTTTTTGTTTCCTTTTCTCCATGAAAAAACAGACTAAAAAATTTGAGCCGAGGAAATTCTATAGAAAATATCTCAATAGAGTAAGTTATTTAGAAAAATCGAATTCTATAGCGTTTGTTTATAGAATACTTTCTATGGAATTTTCCAAGTTTTTTGTTTGATTTTTTTTACGAAATCAAATTCTATTGACTTTTCCGATAGAATATTTTCTATAGAATAAATTTAAAAAAAATTCTATAGAATATTTCAATAGAATCGGCCAAAAACTAATAGAAAATTCAATGGAAATCCAATAGAATTATCCAACGAATTCGCGGGGATTTTCAATTGAATTTTTTTGTGCGCGATTGTTTGTTGATGGTGTATTCGTTCAAGTTTTGATAGTTAAAATGTTATCAGTTGAAATATCGCCACTTCAACTGTCATTAGTTACAAAGACAATAATCCGTCAATAACATCGAAGTGTGAATTACCCTTCAGTTTTGTTGCCATTTCCACGTTTCTGCATGCCATAATAACTCTAGCTCCTCTCTTTACCAGGTCCCTCGCTGTTTCTCGGCCGATGCCCGAGGTGCATCCGGTTACGATTACAGTTTTACCGTTCATTTTTTTCGGGCTTTTACAGACACCTGTTGTCAGGTAGATGTAGAGCTCGAGGAGAATGAGGAGGAATAATGCTCCGGTGAGGATGGCACCTACTGCCAGGTAGCACAGCGTCGGTGTTATTTCAATTCCAAAAATCATACTTTGTAACATGAAAAATTAGGTACGATGAAGTGAAGAATTATTTACGTTTCAGCACGAGAAAATTTCGTAGAAAAACCATGGAAAAAAATTCTGTTGAACTTCTATCGAATAATTATAGTAGTTTGTAATAAATAATTTTCAATTTTAACGTTGAGAAATTTCTACAGAAAATGTCTCAACATTTGAAAAATGTTGAAAGGCTGAAATGTGAAATTTTCTGAGTTTTTCCATTCTATTTTTCTTTTTTTTTTCATTAAAAAAATTAAACAAAAACACTTTGGAATTTGGAGCCGAGGAATTTCTATAGAAGTTATCTGAATGGAAAAAGTTTTATAGAAAAATCCAATGCTATGGATTTTTCCTATAGATTATTATCGATTGAACTTTCGATTTCTATTGAAAGAAGACGCAGATAAGCTGCAGAATTTTCCTATAGAATTGGTCAAAAACAAATAGAAAATTTTCTTTTTTTCCTATGAAATTTTTTCGTACCTGTTGATATGAAATAGAATGTGGTTTATTCACATGAATTATTGAAATATGCAGGAACAGTTTTTATTTCGAATAGTATTTGAAATACTTTTACTGCGTAATTTGAAACTGTTTTTGTTACAATATGTGATTGAATGAAAAATGAATATTAATGTCACTACAATTACTCATTAACGAGGTAATGAAAAATACATTTGCTCCGTTATTTATTAGAAAGGTAATCAGAATGCAATTTTCTTCATCAACCGTTAATATGGTTTATTCCTAAATGTATTCTTTGACCGGTGAGTTGATGAACACTGAGCGCACAGGCCGACACCAAATTGTTCATTAATATGGTATTAAAAAATAGGCCATTCACCATTATAGATTGCAGAAGTAATCAAAATCAGATTTTTTTTTCATTGATCACTAATGTGATGGAGAAATATTATTGATGCATTAGTATTTTTCCACAAAAACGTGGAGTGATATTCAAAATTAAAAAATTATATACTTCTATTTATAAAAAAAAAATCTGAGTTTTATAAATATGAGTATATAATTTTTTTATTTTTTTTAAATATGTCACTTTGAAATTGAGGATGAATTGAGTGAAGGAAGAATGATCTTGTATATCGAAATATTAATAAATAGCTTTCTATCAATGGAATATTTCAATTATTGAGACAAGTTTTTATCTACTTGAACATTTACGCTTTTTATCAGTATTGTTACAATTTCCCGCTTATAGTTTTTCTGCGCTAATTTCTTAACTTTTTAAATTTCATTTGTATTCATGCAGACCTCTTGTGTCAATGAAACATTGCACGGTATTCCAAAGTGCAAATGAATTTTGCCTATTACTATGACTATTTCATTTCATTATTCAGTCGTCAAAAAGGAAAAAAATTTAATGACTTCAAACAGCGCCATCGGGGATATTTATTCCCCTTTAATTTTCAGGGAATAGTCATCCCGTGTGTATAAACATCAACATAATATTTATGTCCTATCTATCTTGTTATCTATCTTGTCCTCAATTTTAATGGAATGATAAGACACTTTATCATTTTTCACAATACGTCACCTTATAATTGGAGACGAATTGGGTGAAATTAATTATGTATCACTTATCACGCACGAAAAAATTTTACTAGAAAAACCTATCGAATTCGTTAGAAAATTCTATTGAATTTCTATCAAACTTTCTATTAGTTTTTGGCTGATTCTATTGACATGTTCAGTAGAAAACATTTAGTAGAAAAAGTCAACAGAATTCGATTTTTCTATATAACTTATTCGTTTTATATATTTTCTACAGAATTTGCTCGACTCAAATTTTCCAAGTTTTTTTCATTCTATTTTTACTTTCTTCTCATCAAGAAAATCAAACGAAAAACCTTAGAAAATTTGAGCCGAGGAAATTCTGTCGAAAATATCTTAATAGAATAAGTTGTATAGAAAAATGAAATTCTATTGACTTTTTCTACTGAATATTTTCTATTGAACATTTCAATAGAATCAGCCAAAACCTAATAGAACAGTTGAATAGAAATCCAATAGAATTTTCTAACGAATTCGATAGGTTTTTCTATTAAATTTTTTCGTCCGTGATGCTTTGCCGTTGAGATTTTGTATATCGGAATATTAATAAATAGCTTTGTATTCAATTATGAATGAAATACTTCAATGTCTGAAGTTTTTATCCATCTGAACTTTTACGCTCTTAATCACACGCATGAAAAAATTCGATAGAAAACCTAGCGAATTCGCTAGAAAATTCTATTGGAATTCTGTAGAAATTCTATGGCTTTTCTATAGGATTTCTATTGGAATTCTGTTGAAAATTTCTATTTGTTTTTTGCACTGATTCTATTGGATACTCGATAAGAAAAAGTCAATAGATTTCGAATTTCTGTTTGGAATTTTCTCTCAAAATTTTTTCTATAAGAATACTTGGGCATCAATTTTCCAAGTTTTTTCCACTCGGATTCTGTAATGCAAAATAAAACAAAATCCAGCGAAAAAGCTCAGAAAATTTGTGCTCAATAATTCAAATAGAAAAAATCTCAAGAGAAAAATTTCAACAGAAATTCAAAATCTATTGACTTTTCCTTATCGAAAATCTAACAGAATCAGCGCAAAAAACAAAAAGAATTTTTTAATAGAATTCCAACAGAAATCCTATAGAAACTCCATAGAATTCCTATAGGATTCCAATAGACTTTTCTAGCGAATTCGCTAGGTTTCCTACTGAATTTTTTCATACGTGCATCATTATTGCAATCTCCCACTTACCATTTTTATGCGCTAGTTTCTCAACTTTTTAAATTTCTTTTGTATTCATACAGACCCCTTGCGTCAATGAAACATTGCACTGAATTCGAGAATGAAAATTAATTTTGCCTGCTACTATTACTATTTCATTCCACTATTCAGTCGTAAAAAATGAAAAATATTAAATAATGACTTCAAACATTTTGACTTCAATTGGGGATATTATTCCCATTTAATTTTCAGTAAATACTCAATCCCCTCTGTATACCCGCCAACATGGAATGAAAATCACTTCCATGGAATAGTCCATTCCTTTTTTATACACATCAGCATAAAATAAAAATCAATCTCCCCATCATGCAGATCAAGATCCAAGGCAAACAAGAATTTTACATTTCCATGCCCGAACGTGACTGATAATTTCACTAGCAAAAAATGATGTCAAGAGACAAGTTGCACATTCCGACAATTATCCACTAAAAACGAAATTATCTAACAAAAAAAACGAAATTATGCGGAAAAATCAATGACACGGAATTTGTGATTATTGGATCAGAGCATTGAGAGCGAGAAAAAGAGACATACCTTGAATTCGAAGGAAAAATGAATATTCTACATGTGTTGAAACCGCCACATACACTGATACCCGGGGTAAGACTCTAGGTAGCTTTCCCGACTGGACATTGCGGGACTCATTCCGTACATCAAATCCCCACCCGTTCTCGTGATTCTTGATGGACTCCTTCTCCTTCTCTCGTACGAAAGAAATTCCTGGTGTGTAACATTGACCCTGACTGCGTGGCAACGAAACGGTTCTTCCCCGTTGGATATCCCGATCCCTCGGAGAACATCATCTCTCCGAGAACTTTCACGTTTCGAAGGCACAAGTGATTTTTTTAATTTCGTGGGGATTGTCCTGTTGAATGTTGGGAGAATCGTTGGTTTCAGGGATTTCGGGAGGATTGGATTTCAATGACTTCAAGTATTAGGCAACATGATGTCATGACCGCAGTTGCAGTCATGATTTTTTAATGATTTCAGTAATTCGAAATGAATGATTTCATTAATTCGAAATGAATGATTTCATTAATTCGAAATGAATGATTTTATTAATTCGAAATGAATTATGTCAGAAAAATTGTGAATCCAATGATTTCAGGTGACTTTTGCTTCTGAATGGACACACTATATTCATCAAAACCAGAAATTTCGAACGTTTTGTGGCAGGACGAGTAATTCGGTAGCGAAGCGGTAAAACGGTTCAAGTCGATGTTGAGTATTGGTCAGTTTTGAATGAATATCTCGGAATCTAAGGCAGATAGTGAAATTTTTATTATAACCATTCTTGTAGAGCGAATTGAGATCTATAAAAAAGGTAGATATGAAAATTTTGCTATCTCCCTTAGATTCGGAGATATTGTAAAAAACTCAGCTGAGAGCCAAGTCGATTTGAACTGTTACACCGCTTTGCTACAGAATTTTGGCCTTAATTATTGTTTTTCAACGATAACTGCAAAAATAATTGTGTAAATAAACCTAATTGTGATTTAAAATATTCTTCATAATGCCATGTTGACCGAGCTGGATCACGAGATTGATTGCATAATCTGTTGTTGAATAAATTTATTTTGAAACTAATATTCAAGGGTAAAAAAATTTAATGTTGGGGCAATGTTAGCTGCCAATATCGGGGAAATGTCGGCGGCCGACGTTGGGCTAATGTTGTCTGTCAATGTTGGGGCAATGTTGGCAGCCAATGTCGGGGAAATGTTGGCTGTCGACGTTGGGCTAATGTTGCCCGTCAATTTTGGAGCAATATTGGCAGTCAATGTCGGGAAAATGTTTCTCTGCCGACGTCGGGCCGATGTTGTCTGTCAATGTTGGGGCCATGTTGGCTGTCAACGTTCTGGAAATGTTGGTTGCCGACGTTGGACCAATGTTGGCATCCGGAGTTGGGCCAATGTTGGCTTCCGGCGTTGGGCCAATGTTGGCTCTGAACGTTAAGGGAATATTGGATACCTTAAGGTATTGTTGGCTGTCAATGCAGAAGCAATGTTGGCTGCCAACTTTAAGTTAATGTCGGCTGCCAATGTTGGGACAACGTTGGCTGCCAATAGTAGCTATCAATGTTGGGCCAATACTGGTAAATAAATTTACGAATGAATAACACTTAATATGTTAATTAAATAATTATATTTCTGTTTTTGTTTCTTCAATAGGTACAATGATGATGACATCAAGATTAATATAAATTTTCTATGATACAACCCTTGAGACTGTCGTACATTAAATTCCCTCACCTTCACTCCTCCAATCATCAACGGAACATGGAAGTCGCAAAGCAAAGTACAATTACCCTGTTTTGACGGAATTGTTCGAGTCCAACAAATGAATTACTTCTCATCCTTAAAATCAATTTTACAAAAGAGAGAAACTTTTTACGGTCTACATAACTATCTGTTTTAGTAGTGAATGGATGGAACGAGATTTCCCTTGAGAAGAGATCGGTTTTTGTTGGATATCTTTGAATTCAAGGGAGATGAAAAATATTCATTCTCACATTTTTTGCAGCTTTAATTTTCCTCTAAAAAAAAAGTCCTGGAAAAACATCGCTGTCTCCCTTATATTCGGAGATATTCACCAGAAACTCAGCCAAATCGACAAGCATGAAAAAATTTAATAGGAAAACCTTGCGAATTCACTTGAAAATTCTATTGGATTTTTATTGAACTTTATTAGTTTTTGGCCGGATTTTTATGTTCGCTAGAAAATAGTCTATAGGAAAAGTCAACAGAATTCAATTTTTCTATCCAACTTATTCTATTGAGAAATTTTATAGAATTTCCTCGCCTCAAATTTTACAAGTTTTCTATAATTTTTTCTTTTCATGAAGAAAATGAAACAAAGAAAATTAGAAAATAGAATGAATTGTATAGAGAAACAAAATTCCATTGACTTTTTCTGTAGAATAATTTTCATTGAAAATTTAAATATTTTTCTATTTTCTTTATTATTTATTATTTATTATTATTTATTATTCTAATTTTTTTATACGTCAAACTTGATACACAAAAACATATGGGCTAATTATTATGCTAGATAATTCAATAGAAAAATAGTTTATCCGAAGATTTTATTATTCTTTTGAAATTCTATTTTTTTGCAGATCAATTAAGCAGTTTTTCTAAAAAAAATAATGCTTTATGATTCTTTAAAAGAATCTGCCCAAGATTTTTTATAAAGAAAATTTTTACGAAATAAGTAAACTGAAAAAATCGAAATCTATCACTTTTTTCTGTGGAATTTCAATAGAAAACAACGAGTTCTCTTTGAAATTTTCTGACTCACGTTGCATTCTGCACGAGTTCTCTCGTTCCTCCCTCACTACCAACTCTTACTCCACACCCACGAAACGTAAAAAAGGGAAGAATCACATGGGAAACTCGGGTTTCATACAGCACGTCTGCAGACGAACGAGAGAAATTAATAAAAAAACCTGGCACTTAAAAAATTTTCCTGTAGCTTCGGAAAACGTAGCTCTGAGAAATTCTATTGAGTCCCTATTGGAACTCATGCGAAGTTGCATAATCAATAAATTTTAATTTTTCTATGAAAATTATTCTCTTAAGGACATAAATTTTCCAAGTTTTTCCCGCTATATTTTTTTTCTTTCTCAAGACAAAATGGAAGACGAAAAACTCGAAGAATTCATGCCCCAGAATTCTGATAGAAATAGCGAGTTCTAAGAATAATTCGTGCAATTTTTTAGAGGAATCCTCATAGAAGAATAAGCAACAGAATTTTTTCAAAATTATTCTCTTACAGGCATAAATTTTCCAAGTTTTTCCCGCTATATCTTTTTTTCTTTCTCAAGACAAAATGGAAGACGAAAAACTCGAAGAATTCTTGCCCCAGAATTCTGATAGAAATAGCGAGTTCTAAGAATAATTCGTGCAATTTTTTAGAGGAATTCTCATAGAAGAATAAGCAACAGAATTTTTTCAAAATTATCCCCTTACCGGCATAAATTTTCCAAATTTTTCCCGCTATATTTTTTTCTCTTTCTCAAGACAAAATGGGAGACGAAAAACTCGAAGAATTCATGCCCAAGAATTTCGATAGAAATAGCGAGTTCTAAGAATAATTCGTGCAATTTGTGAGAGAAATTCTCATAGAAGAATAAGCAACAGAATTTTTTCAAAATTATCCCCTTACCGGCATAAATTTTCCAAATTTTTCCCGCTATATTTTTTTCTCTTTCTCAAGACAAAATGGGAGACGAAAAACTCGAAGAATTCATGCCCAAGAATTTCGATAGAAATAGCGAGTTCTAAGAATAATTCGTGCAATTTGTGAGAGAAATTCTCATAGAAGAATAAGCAACAGAATTTTTTCAAAATTATCCCCTTACCGGCATAAATTTTCCAAATTTTTCTCGCTATTTTTTTCTCTTTCTCAAGACAAAATGGAGGACGAAAAACTCGAAGAATTCATGCCCAAGAATTCTGATAGAAATAGCGAGTTCTAATAATAATTCGTGCAATTTTTTAGAGGAATCCTCATAGAAGAATAAGCAACAGAATCTTTTCAAAATTATTCTCTTACAGGCATAAATTTTCCAAGTTTTTCCCGCTATATCTTTTCTCTTTCTCAAGACAAAATGGAAGACGAAAAACTCGAAGAATTCATGCCCAAGTTTTCCAATAGAACTAGCGAATTCTAAGAATAATTCGTACAATTTTTGAGAGGAATTCTCGTAGAAGAATAAGCAACAGAATTTTTTCAAAATTATTCTCTTACGGGCATAAATTTTCCAAATTTTTCCCGCTATATTTTTTTTCTTTCTCAAGACAAAATGGAAGACGAAAAACTCGAAGAATTCATGCCCCAGAATTCTGATAGAAATAGCGAGTTCTAAGAATAATTCGTGCAATTTTTTAGAGGAATCCTCATAGAAGAATAAGCAACAGAATTTTTTCAAAATTATTCTCTTACCGGCATAAATTTTCCAAATTTTTCCCGCTATATTTTTTTTCTTTCTCAAGACAAAATGGAAGACGAAAAACTCGAAGAATTCATGCCCCAGAATTCTGATAGAAATAGCGAGTTCTAAAAATAATTCCTGCAATTTTTTAGAGAAATTCTCATCGAAGAATGAGCAACATAATTTTTTCGAAAGAAATCTGGGGAAAAAATTAATAATTCTTTATGGAACTCCTGTTGCAACTCCAGTAGAATTCTTATTCGCAATCGCACGCAGACGTGAGAGCCACCCAATGGGCTCTAAACTAACTACTCTTGGACGCCAACCAATGATATTGCTAGGAGGGAACCAATGGTGGGGCTCAACCAATGAGATCAAGGAGAGCCCAGTGATATCATTGGTTGGCCGCCACGAGTAGTTAGTTTACAAACACCACTTGGGTGTTCCCACATCTGCATTGCGATCGCGAATTGGGAACTGGTGGATGGGCGGAGCTTACGGCTTTGAGATGGCATTTTACGTGTAGTTGATGTGGTGAATTCCCTGTTGACACGACATGAATGAAATTGATCTCATTTTGAAGCTTAAAGAAAATAGTCTAATGATTTATAATTTGTTGAATTTCACTCTGCCAATCGCGAGATATTGACTCAGACTTTTGATTGACTTTTGAAGACGATTCAATTTTTTGCATTATAGTCTCATACAATGGAGACATTTGCTATTTTATTGTAAAATCGTTCGTTTTCTCACCACCAGATGTCACACGCCCATCTCCCAGTGGAGTTCCGACACAAATTCAATTCGCGATCGTAACATAAATGTGAGAGCCACCAAGTGGGCCCTAAACTAACCAATGAAATCACTGGGAGCGAACCAATGATAGGGGTTAACCAATGAGATCACTGGGTTCCCCTTGATCTCATTGGTTTGCCCCCAAGAGTAGTTAGTTTCGAGACCACTTGATGGCTCCCATATCTACGTTGCGATCGCGAATAGCACATGTGCAAAAAGATTTCGTAGAAAAATCGAACGAATTCGCCAAAAAATGTTCTCCCTAGCTTCAAGAAATTTAACTCCCACGAAATTCTACAGAATCCCTTTTGGATTTCTATGGGCATTCTATTAAAAATAATGCAACTTCGTCATTTTGTCGGGGAATTCCTATGGAAAATGTCTCAATAGAAAACTTTTCCAGTTCATGTGCGGGGTTTTTGTCAATAGAAATGAGTAATATTCTATAGAAAAAAGCAGTAGAATTCAATTATTCTATTAATGTATTTCGTATGGCAATTCCTCGGCTCAAATTTTTTAGGTTTTTCGTCTGTTTTTTTTATGAAGAAAAGAGAAGATAGAGTGAAAAAAACTTATAAAACTCATGTCGAGGAATACTTATAGAAAAATTGTATACAACGATGAAATTCCATTCATCTGATTCCACGGCTTTTTTTCTCAAATAATTTCTATTACATTAAATATTAAAAAAACGCACAATAGAATTTTCTTCGAAATTCTTCAATGAAAACGGCCAAAAACTAATAGAATTTTCAACAGAAATCCAACAGAACCCACCACAATTCTCTATCGAATTCCCCGGAATTGTTTCAGGCGTTTGATAAATTTTCGTTTTGGTTTGCTCCCTCGTGCCCCAAATTATTCCCGGAGATGACCCTAAAAAATCGTTTCATACATCTCCAATAGAATTTTCCAAGAACACGCCAGATTCTCTCGAATTTCCATCCCCACGACCAAAAATCCGAAAATTAAGGCGCGCATGGATTATTTTTTGAACATAATCTTGATTGTTTTTCCATCTTCGTAATCTAAAATATATCACAATTTCTACTGGATTTTACATCACCTAGTCGTCCCTAAAAATTATGATTGCACAATCCAAAAAAGTAGAAAAAAACTGAAAATTTTCAAAGAGTATTTTTAATCAAAACTAGGAAATAAATTCAACAGAGAGGAACTTATGAATGGCTAATTAATAACGATCTGACAGGCATTGACTACTGAGACAAATCACGATTGAACAGCCATTAGATACTGTAAATTATTAATTAGCAATTTCCTTCCTATTGGGTTTATTTCCCAATATTATTCAAAAAATTTTTGATTGTACAATCATAATTTTCGAAAACTTCAGGGTTATTTAAATTGAATGGCAATTGAAGAACATTTCAGATTACCAAAATAAAAAAAGACAACCAAGATCACTTCCCAAAGATAATACCACGCACAAAAAATTGAACAGAAAAACTTAGTGAATACGTTAGAAAAGTCTATTGGATTTCTATTGAACTTTCTATTACTTCTTGGCCAATTCTATTGAAATGTTCAATAGAAAATATTCAATAAAAAAAGTCAATAGAATTCGCTTTTTCTAAATAACTTATTCTCTTCAGATATTTTCTATAGAATTTCATTGGCTCAAATTTGCAAAGTTTTTCTCATTTTTCTTTTCTTTCGTTCCTTTCTTTTTATCAAAAAAATCAAACAAAAAAACTGGAAGAAAAAAATCAAATTTTCTTTGGTTCAAATTTTCATTGGCTCAAATTTTCCAAGTTTTTTTCATTCTCTTCTTCCTTTCTTCTCATCAAAAAATCAAATAAAAAAACTTAAAAAATTCGGACCCATGAAATTCTACAGAAAATATCTCAATAGAATAAATCGCATAGAAAAATCCAATTCCTTCACTTTTTCTACAGATCATTTTCCATTACCCATTTCACTAGAATCTGCCAAAAACTACCCGAGAGTTCAACAAAAATCCAATAGACCTTCGCGCCTTCGCCGTTTTTCTCCGAAATTTTGTCACCCGTGACCGGCGGGTCTATCTCAATAATTATCACAATGTTCTCCCCAACAAGAGTCAGACAGTGGAAATCCTCGAGTCAAGTGTCCGAGGCACCTGCGTCTCCTCCCCCCCGCCCCCCCCCCCCTCCTCCCCACCCCCCTGAGCATTATCAGGCTGATCATGGCCCACTTCCTCATTCTGTGCGACAACGACAGGCGGACTCTTCCCCTCCTGCGGGCTCTCCACCTTATAAAGAATATCATGACACAGTGGACAGCGATCCTGCACATACAGCCACTTTCTCAAGCAGACCCCATGGAAGTAATGATTGCACCTGGTGACCTTGGCACTCTTCATCTCCTGATAGCAAATGGCGCAGACATCATCAAGCATCCTGAGCTGTTCAACCCTGGCCTCAGGAAGTGAATTGATCTTGTTGACAGCAGTCCTGCGCTTCATAAAAACACTCCAGCCAGCCTTGGCTTCATTCCAAATATTGAAGTATGCATGAATGCCCATCATGATGGCGCGTATAGCTCCACCTGACTCAAAAATGAGGATCCAAAATCCATTGAAGAACAGAACAATTCCAAAAGCGAATTCAATTGTATTCCCAACAGCCTTGATCATGTAGACGCAGTCGTCCAACTGCTCCCAGAAGGTGCTCCGATAAGCGTCAATCAGGAATAGAGAGTATATGGAGAGTGACACGAGCACCTTGACGATCACCTCGATGCTGAATACTGTGACAGCCAGCAGCCAAGTGCTGATCGAGAAGTGCGACCAGAGGAAGACGAGGAGAGACACTGGGAATATGATGAGGAAGGCGCACACGGCTAGGGCCCGAAGGTGTCTGTGGAGGGCTGGATTGTGGGAGGCACTGAGGGACATCAGGAGGGGATTGACTATGTTGTGGACGAAGTGGAGAACAGCTGTGAAGAGGAGGCAGAAGTTGCGGCAGAGCTTGACGAAACGTTTGTCGCGATCGAGACTGGTGAGACCAGTCTGGAGGGCTAGGATGTAGAACAGAATGGCGGATACTGTGCCGATGCTCTTCTCGTCGTTGTCCTCGGTGAGGAGGACCCACTGGAAGAAGCAGCCAATGTGGTGGCAGATGTAGGAGATGATGCTGGTCATGCCGAGGACTGCTGTCAGGGTCTCGCAGCCGTTCACCAAGAGGGTCTTGATCATCGTGCAGAGGGTCAGGGTCTCGTCGCCGTAGTGGTTACCCAGGATCTGGATTATCTGCTCGCTGACGCGCAGCATCCAGAAGGTGCGGAGGACGTTCGGAACGTTCAGCCGGATCCACTCTATCTCGGCGAGGGCGGAGAGACCGTAGTTGCTTATGAAGGTGCGGGCGTTCTTGTAGCCCGCGTGCATTATCTTCAGCATGGAGAAGCTGTTGTACCAGAGGATGAATTTGGAGACTGCTAGGGGGAGGAGCGCGCTGAACACCGGCGCGTGGTGGAGGACGTTTGTCTGGAAGAGGAGTTGAAATTAGAATGGGGGTTGTTTGGGGGAGCCGCAACCATCGAAAAATGTATCCTATTTTACTAAAGATGAAAGAAAGTTGCTTTATATCCAAATATCTCGAAACTGCCTGATCGCTAATCCTTAATTCTGATTGGTCAATATGTGACACGAAGTTATTCACAAAAAAAACACGGCATTTTCAAATTCTTCGGTGGTAAATTTTTTTTTCACGTCATATATATATATATAATATGTATATTTCACATGTATACATATCATCGGTGAAATTAATAAATTCTGTCCTTTTATAGAGACCGATTATTTTAAAAAATTGAAGATAATTAATTGAAAATGAAAAATTCTTTATACATTCTTTTACTCTACTTCGCTATTCACTTCAATCATTAGTCGAATTCTCTTTGATTCATTATCAATATTTATAAGGTATTCATGAGAAAATGAAATTCAATGAATTACATTTCTTCATTTCAACAAATGAATAGATCAGCGCGCGCGAGAGCGCGCGCATAGATCTTGTATAATATAGGCCAATTCCATAGATTTTTCAAACTTATGAAGAATATATAGAAAATATGTATAAACCATATATTTTATATATTTTTTTCAGCATATATTATGTACTATATATTTTATTCCTTTTTATATAAATTGGACTACTTTAAGATATTTTTTTATCTATTTTTCAGAATATAAATTTTTCCGTGTGGGCGGCCTCAATAATGTAACGATCAGAATTGTGAAGGGGGCTAATTATTATTGGTCTTTTCCATTGTAGGAAGTAATATTACTGTGCTACATTGTCTCTTCATTTGGTCTTTTTCGACACTTCTCACAACTTTTGGAGTTTTTAACAAATATTATTGGAGCTTGCAAATTATTAGTGTTGAAATTAGTGTTATTGAATTATTCATCTTGTCCTTGATATCATCTCTCTGTGTACAGTAATATTACGGTTTGATAATATTTTTTTCCGTAATATTGTCCCGTAATCGTTTTGAATATCCGATCGAAATATTACAGTAAAAAATATTACGCCGCAATATTACGGTAAGTAATATAATGAATTTTGATAAATAATCGAATTTTTTTATGAATAGTATTGCACGCAGACAAATGGTGTATTTCAATTAAATAAACTTTATTTGAATCAAATAAATCCTCTATCACAATCAAATAAACGATTTATTCGATTTAAATAAAGTTTATTTAATTCAAATAAACAATTTTTCTGGGGGTGGAGTTTGCACATTATTGAGTGTTGATAGTGTTATTGAATTATTCGTTTTATCCTTAATGTCATCTCTCTGTGTACGGTAATATTACCGTTTGATAATATTTTGCTCCATAATAATTTTTTTCGTAATATTACGGTGAATAATGTAACGATCAAAATTGTTACGGGGTCTAATTATTATTCGTCTTTTTCAACACTTCATTCGAAACTATAATAAACTTACTGGTAACGGAGTGATAGCCAGCACAGAAGGCGCCAAAAAACTGGCAACTAGTAATTTCTGGAGTATCGGATGACGTGGGGCCAGATGAATGTAGCAAAATATACACGCCAATAGACTCTGCAGCAGGTAATTCTGGATAACAATCAATCCCGGACCATAACGCATATGTTGACTGATATTCAGACACAGTATATCGTCCAATATACTCGTCGATGTATCAAATGAATTTGCGTAGGCAATAACGGCTTTCATCGTGCTGACATTGGACCAGTAGGACAAAAATATCGTGCCAACTGATATCAGGTACAGGTAGACAACTATCAGATGCTTCGTCCACAGCATGAATATGTACAATGATGCGAGGATACCTTTAATAGATTCATTATCAAGATTAATTACATCAGGGGAGATATTCCTCATATTATAATCCTGTGATTTTTCAATGCATTTAATTTTTTTATTTTTAATTCATTCGTCAAGTTGATTTTAATTTTTTGTATAAGAATTCTTGAATAAGGTAAATGTGTGAGGCTCATTCAGATGTCACATTTTAATCATTTTGACAGTCCCAGAAAGAAACTGTAAAGGGTGAAATACGATTGGAATTTGATTTTAGTTGATGAGAGAGAAAAATAAGAGAGGAAAATCTCATTCACATCAACTGATGCTACGATAGAGTGAATTCTTAACCCGCAAGTTCAGGAACTCACAATTTTAAAATGTTCATTTCTTCGTTATAATAATAAAATGGGATTAAAATCTCCGGAATGAGGTCTCGGATAGTTAAAAATTCAAGAAAAATGCATGAAACAGTAACATCTTGACACTTCGGAAAGTTACCACTCAATATTCGCTGAGAGAAAAATCTGAAGTTCGATTTATAATAAGAAAATAGTTGAGGCATTTTGGTGAACGATACGATTGTTTTTTTGTATGCGGCACATTATAGTAACTTCACAAGCGTAACTTTTGCAAATCAAAATGCAGTTAAACTAACCCAAGTTCAAAAGTGACAACGACAAATCTATCGTGAGGAGAACTATAAAATAGTTGCAATGACTACATTCCATTGTAGTAATTACTTCTCCGGCCATAGTTACCGTAACCCATGAAAAATTGTTGAGGACTTTTTCACTATAATTCGATGGTGATAGAATATAGTCAGAAGAATTATATTTTTCTCTCAATGTTGTAATTATAAGTCAACTTCTTCAACTTTTTCAGTGGAGGTTCCATCCCGTTAGAATGATTGATTCACCGATAGGCAGGATTATTTATTGTTAACAAATGGATTTGGTTGAAGTTTAAGGTCGATTTAGTCTCACCAAATGTTCATTCGTTAATAGTTAACAAATGCATATTGTTTGACTCACCTTTCAAGTGAACCATTCGTTAACTATTAACGAATATTTATTTGGTCACATTCAACTCTACCATTCGTTAATAGTTAACGAATCTCGTTTGGAATAAATGAATCATTCTATCAGTGTACTTTAGACAGTACATTGAGAAAATTTTATCCCATTCTGAGCGAATATCTCCCAGAAATGTTTTTCAGAATTTGTTGACTCGAACTGACGAGACGAGCATAGGATCATTTACTTTACAACTGGTTCATGTACCCAAATTCACTTACCCAAGCAACAAGCGAGGAATTTTATGGGTGTGATAACATTCGTCTGATAGAGGTAGTCATCAATATTAAATTGTTTCATAAAAAACGGCTCCGATGAGACCAAGGAACCGACAATTGTATTCTGCACACTGTTGACTTTCAGATTATCTATTATTGTTTCGTTAGATAGTAGGATTATGTTCTCCTCGGGCACCCCTAGACTGAGCCTCAGAAGTTCATCGATGATGAACAGGGGGGGCACTCTCATCACCACATTGGCAAATCCCATTATCCTGTCCCGCATTATCGTCTCCATGATTGCGCTGGTTGTCCTTCGGAAGTCTTGGGGATCAAATGTTCATGGAGAGTTGTTGGAGTATGTTGGATTCTGGAATTGTTGGGTGATGACAATGCATCACAATTCACTGGATGACGGCACCTGGGAGGGTTCTAGCTGTTGGGAAATGAAAAGTCATTAGGTAGAAGTGCCAAAAAAATTCCATAAAAAAATTCTGGATTTCATGGAACGAAATGGTATTCAAAAATCAATCTCTACACAGCTCGACACATTTTAGTGTCGCCGCACACTGAGCGAAAAACAAACACGTTGTCAAACAAGTCTTATTTGGGTCAACAAAATCGCTAGATGAAAATTGCCAAAAAATAATTTGTTGCGTTCGAACTTGAAAGTTTCAAACATGAATAATTGCTCTGCTTTCGACGGCAACGAAATATTTGGCTCAAGAGGCGGATAATTAGCACCAGACGGTGCCTTTTCAGGATGAAAATATCTCATATAGAGGAAAATTTATCAACAAATATTTTATCCCTAAGTCACAAGATTGTTATCACATCATTATTATTATTTCATTTAAGGGTTCATTTCTTGTTTGTAATTATTAGACAGCCGAAAGAAAAAACTACTGTCCCTTGTTTCGCATAAAACAAAGATTTTTCGGGAGCAAAATGCGTGTGGAAGTATCGAATAACGAAGGAGTAGTACTAGAAATGACATTTCTTGCGTGTACAGAGAATGAATTTTTTTTTGAACTACTAAATCTATTTTTGCGACAAAATTTTTTCATACCGGCGCACTCTCTGCATGTTTGGCACAAAAAATCATTTTTTGATAATTTCTAAAAAACTATTTTTTTGGCACAAGTAAGACTTGTTTGAGAACTTTGTCATTTTTCTTTCAGTGTATAAACTGTGTTTATATTACGAGGCGATCGCATGGCGGGCGACTACGAATTCTCAGAACAAAACATAGAACAAAGGACAAAGAGAAAATGCGTTCGATGTGGTCCAATGTACTGGTCCTTATTTTTCTGAAGTTAGTCTCCGGTAGTCGGAGTTGGAGTAAAGATCGAGATGCGTCTTCTGCGTGTGACTGAATAAAGAATCCTAGTCATATTAAATTCACAGAGTTATTATTCCAATTCTACCCATAATTCCAATAAAAAAACTAGTGATTTCGCTAGAAAATTCAATTGGATTTCTGTTAAATTTTCTTAGTTTTTGGATGATTTTATTGGAAAATTCAGCTTATCTGCGCGTTTTCTTTTTCAATAGAAATGTTCAATGGGAAATATTGTGTAGAAAAAATCGGTGGATTTCTATTTGTCTGTTCAACTTATTCTATTGTATTTTTTATATAAATTCCTCGGTTCAAAAATTGCATGTTTCTGTTAATTTTTTTATAAACAACAGGTAAAATACAGTGGAAAATCTTGGAAAATTCATGTCAAGGAACTATTATAGAAAATATTTTAATAGGAAAAACTTATATTTTCCAATAAATATTTTTATTGAAAAAAACGTGTAGTAAAGCTGTGGAATTTTCAATGGAAATTCAATAGAATCTCTCATAGTAAGCGCTAGGTTTTTCAATCCAATTTTTTCATACATCAATTTACATATACGTCATTATGATTTTTTTCCCCGTAACATTCAATAGTAGCATTTCCCTTGAGATTCAAAGAAGAAATTAAATTTCTTATACATGTAAACAACTTATTACGAAATTACTTAGCCTGCCCGCGACCATGATTTGCAAAATCTACTTAGTGAACAAAAAACGATGAAAAAAAAATATGAATATTAATGCTGAAACCTCCATGAGATATGAAAAATGACAGATGATTCAATTGAACCTTCTGCAACTGGAGATGAAATGAACTCCACACGAGGGAATTTAGTAGTTCGAAAGTAAACAACAACTCACCAAATCATGAAAAATATTGTTTAATCACAAGTAAATTGTGTGCGATGGCTGATGGAAGAGCAAAAAAAAAATTTGCCTTATCACATCCTCGTTAACATGTTACGTTTACAATGGCACAGTCGCACAGACGTACCTAACCTCAAAATAATTTTGCACTTCCGTATCATACGGCAATGTACCAGGGGTATTGTATTGTTTCGTGACGAGATATTGGTTTCGATTTTCTGTGACGTAAACAGACGTGATATATTTTTATCATGTAGTTGTCACCTCACACCATGTCCTCGGTGCTGTTTATACTTGGGATTTTTTTTTCTATTGTGACAGCTCGTAGCAGTGACCCAGTGACGCGATGAAGCGGCACTGGGGACGTATAAGAAATGAACAACCTTAAATGCTTTGTTACTTAAGGGGAAAAAATTGATTAAATGTAGTAGAACATGACGTGAACGCATTTAGAAGAATCTAATATTCAGGTTTTCAGGGATTTATGTTTCATTTTCCGTGGGGTGCGATGTTTACGTTCATTAGAATTAACAATACATAACATTTCGAACTATTCGCATTGGGGGAAAGAAGGCGGGTTACAGTCATGTTATTTGTTATTAAGATTGTTCGAGGAAATATTGATTGTCCTTAATTTTCGAATCTTTTGCCACTTGCGACGGGATATAAAAGCGTTTATTTATGCCCTGAGGTGAAGAACCCCCTAAAAGGACAAACCAGGAGATATACATCATAAATAGGGTAGGTTGGGGTGAAAATGGACACTTTTGACTTTTTTAAAAATATTACTAACGGGTTGAAATGTTGATGAAATTTAATCTTTTTTTTTTCAAAAGAAAGAGCAGTTCTTTCCCTTTGTGATGAGCCTTAACTGAGCTCTATTGATGCATTTCTTTCTGCGTTATGAATAATTTTAAAAAAGTCTAAAGTGTCCATTTCACCCTACCCTCCCCTATATTATTATTATTATTAGTTACTCGTAAATGAACTACTGAATGATCCTTGAGAGTCCCAACTTCACCTCGACGCTCGCCCATGCAAGCTAAGCGATACAAACTTTTCCTAATCACTCTACAATAGTGTTCTCTCTAACCAGAGGGTGAGCTCTACTGCAGTCCAGAATCATGTGTCTAAAAGTAGACGGAGGAACCCAAGGATGACAGCCTTTTGCATTTGGCCAGCTAATATGAAGACATTTCGCCTACAGGTCGGGATCTTTCCGAGCCCGGCCTTATAATATTATTATTTTTTTTTACTTGTCAATGAGACAGCTGAAGGATCCTTGAGGGTTCCGACTTCACCTCGACGCTCGCCCATGTAAGCTAAGCGATACAAACTTTTCCTAATCACTCTACAATAGTGCTCTCTCTAACCAGAGGGTGAGCTCTACTGCAGTCCAGAATCATGTGTCTAAAAGTAGACGGAGGAACCCAAGGATGACAGCCTTTTGCATTTGGCCAGCTAATATGAAGACATTTCGCCTACAGGTCGGGATCTTTCCGAGCCCGGCCTTATAATATTATTATTTTTTTTTACTTGTCAATGAGACAGCTGAAGGATCCTTGAGGGTTCCGACTTCACCTTGACGCTCGCCCATGCAAGCTAACCCTGACGGACCGGTCGATTGAGGAATCGAGTTGCTCAGTATGTTGACTAGCATTCGATTGAAACTCGATTGGGATCCGATCGACTCATGATCGACCACTTGATTAATTGTTCCAGTTTCGTTTCCATTTTTTTTCCTTCCCAAATTCACTTGCAATTGATTTCTTGTTGTCGATTGCAATCATTCACTTGCAATGGATTTTTGACCATTCATTTGAAATCTCAATTGAATTACAATCGAATTCCAATCGACATACTGAGTAACTCGATTTCTCAATCGACAACCGATCGAAGCGCAATCAAGAAGTCCGCCAGGGAAGCGATACAAACTTTTCCTAATCACTCTACAATAGTGCTCTCTCTAACCAGAGGGATGAGATCTACTGCAGTCCAGAATCATGTGTCTAAAAGTAGACGGAGGAACCCAAGGATGACAGCCTTTTGCATTTGGTCAGTTAATGTGAAGGTATTACGCCTACAGGCCGTGATGGTTTCGATCTTAGATATGAAGGACTGCTTAATTTCCCCCAGAGAGCCAATAATAAGGACAAACAATTTTACTCTGAATCCTCGGTTAAGTTGACGTAGCTCAGACAGGAGTGGTTGATACTTGAGTCGCTTGTCCTTTTCTTTAACTGTTATATTTCTATCAGCCAGCGCCGAGAACTCAATGACATAGATGATTTTGTCATCAAAATCGAAAAGTTATTATTATTGGAAGCATTTCATTAGATGTCCTGGAGTAAAATATCCCCTAAGGACAAACATTTGATATATACAATAATTTAACTGTGATCATATCTCGCTACAATCGATAAGTACTTTGTTCATAAGACAGTCATTGTTTTCAAGATAAAGTCAAATACTGCTTAAAGACAAACAATTGTTGTCGAAAAAATCCATTCAAAAATTCAGTTCATATTATCGGACTGACAGTCCGATGGGTACGTAACAGGTACGTAATCCCCCCAATTACAAAATATACGTTCAATTCAAATCAAATTCAATCTAATTATGTTGTTTTCATTCTGATTTAATTAAAACACTGGGGTGTTGTAACAACGACTGTCTCACGTTCTAGTCTACGATGCTGTTGAAGACGAGAAATTCTCGCATGCCAATTTTCTGTGGGGGATACATGCGAAGAGTATGATGCGTGGTGGAGTCATATCACTCAACGAAAATGACGGGGTTAGCAGTTGTATCTGTGATAATTATATCAATGTTCATTGAATATGCGCTAACAAATTTGGTTCAGACACATGACAAAATTCAATCGAAAAACCTAGTGCTGATTTTATTGACAAAATTCAAATAAAATTCTATTTTATTTATTTATTATTATCGTTTATTCATTCACATTCGATAGGAGAAAATAAATAGCTTTTTCTACAACTTTTTCCACTATTTTTTCATTCTTTCCTATTACGAAATGAAAAATAAACTTAGAAAACTCATGGATATGAAAAGAATTTCTAGAAAAATCCACCACTTGGAATTATTAAATTTTTCCGTTCAATTTTTCAATACTACAAAGGAATAGATTTTTATTTCTTGCAGATGACTCTTGAAATTTTTGTGTAGAAATTCACGAGTATGAGTTTTTCAAGTTTTTTCTGTATTTTCAGTGTTCCTCGTGCCCAAACCCAATAAGAAGCCGTTGACAGATTTCAGAAATTCAAAAAATGTTCAAAAATTCTCAGAGAAACAATCGCAGAGTAATAGGTGCAGAAAATTGCGTAATTTTGTACACAAATCAATCAGAAAACATTTCCTATGTAACTTTTTCATTAGTGAATTTATAGTAACATAATTGTTTTTCCTTGAAAGTGTCGACAGCAAAAAATGATGTTCATCCTTGCATGCAGTTTTTTGGTACATATTTATAATAAAAATGGTGGAGAGGGTACTAGTTTTTCTGACATCTAGAGGCAGGAAAAATCAAGGTGATTAGGTGGCTGCAGTCGCCCCGCACAATGAAGATTCCTAGAGGAAAGGTTGAAGAGGGCAGGGGGGGAGGTTTGATGAGGATGAGAGCATCCTTTGGAGATCTCGAATTGACATCAGTCCCTAACGAGTGTTGATGGCGTGTGGAAGACACTGGGGAGTTGCATTCAATTTCCAGTGTTAAACTTATGGTTGTATATTTTTCGGGAGTTTGGAAATCAGAATGAAAGGGAGGGTTTGTGAGATATTGACAGTACCAACAGTGTTCGTACTTTTGGAGTTGATTTTGCTGTCGGCTGGGTTTGAGTACAATCGAGTGCCGGATCTGATAAAAGTCCGGAGACGAGCTGATGCTGGAGATGCCGAGTTCGTTGCTCTGGACTTTGTAAGAACAGTTGATGATTTTATAGAATTTATAGAAAAATATCATTTCACTTGAAAATTCTATTGGATTTCGACTGATTTTTTACAGAAAATTCCATTAATTTTTGGCCGATTCGAATTTTTTTTACAGAAAATGTCCGATAGAAACTATTCTACAGAAGAAATTAGTAGAATGTCATGTTTCCATACAACTTTTTCTATTCAGAGATTTTTTCATAAAAATTTCTCGATACGAATTCTTCTTTTTTTTTCACTCAATTTTTTTTTTCTATTGATTGAAAAAATGAAACAAAAAAAAGTTTGAAAATTTTAGCCAAAGAATTTCTGTAGAAAGTATATCAATCAAATAAATTGTATATAAGAATCGAATTCCGTAGACTTTTTCTATAGAATATTTTTCACCGAACGTTTCTATCGAAAAAAAATCGCAGGTAAGCGGCGAAATCTTTCGAGAGAATCGGCCAAAAACTAAAAGAAGATTCGACAGAAATACTATAGAATTTTCCAGCGAATACGCTAGATTTCTCCGTGAAATTTTTTCTTCACCATGAGTTTTTCAATAGATATTATTTACATAAACAATTCATTAAGTGTTTACCTTTCTGTATAACTTATGCTGTTGGCATTTCTGAATAGGAATTCTTACATATAAATTATGCAAACATTATTTCTTGAATTTTCTGATGCGACGTAAAAAAATATCAACTTTTTTGTAAGAAATGTCAATCGAAATTGAAAAAAAATTGATGGAATTTTCTGTATTCAGAGGAATCATCATTCGAATTAAATAAAATTAATTTGAAATGAATGAATTAATCCCCTCACATGATTAAAATTTTTATTTAGGGTAGGAAAATTACAGATGAAAGTTTTATCGATTCGTAATTGTCATTCTGAATCAGATAGGACTGGTTGCTGAACAGGGACGAGAAGCCGAGCGTTATAGTGTCACCACCGAGGATGGCTATATCCTGGCGTTATTCCGACTACCCCCGAACCCAAACTCTCCGAGAAATGTCGGTAAAAATCGAGTCATCTTCCTGCATCCTGGACTGGCAGCCTCGGCCGACTGCTTCGTGATATTCGGAAAGGAGAGGAGTCTCGGTAATTTCGAATATCAATAAATTCGAAATTGATCTGGGATCTAATTTTTAATGTGTTTACACAGCACACATACTGTCTGACGCTGGATACGACGTGTGGATAGGGAATGTCAGAGGAGGCACTTACAGCCGGAATCACACGACTCTCAAACCCACAGACGCCGATTTTTGGGACATTAGGTAGGAATTAAGAAATTGGAAATTCAGGTCTAGTTATGGAACCCGATTGTTCTCAATGACTTGGAAGTTTCGTTGAGTGGATGTTTCATATTTGAAAATGATGATTTGTTAAGAATTTTCCCAAATTTTCTGGCACAGTTCCAAATTCTCTAGAATTCCGTAGAAAACCTCGGAATTTTTAACATTTTTTTAACCCAGAATTATCTAGAGATCCCGCTAATTTTCATGAACTCTTGTCTTCAAAAGACAAGAAGTCTCACGCAATTTTTCCGGCGCTCTCCTCAAATTATCTGTCATGAATACTCCATTTTGATCAACAGCATCGATGATTACGCTCTCCTGGACGTCCCCACCATGATAGATTACGTTCTAGAGACCACAGGACAATCCAGGATCTCCTACGTGGGCCATTCTCTTGGAACCACAACCATCATGATGCTGTTGTCGGCGAAGCCCGAATACAACAAGAAGATCGATTTGATATTTCACTTTGCACCGATGGCTTACTGGGTTACGAAGAGTCCAATGAGGCTGATCGTAATGTCAGCTGGACAATTTTTGCAGAATCTGCTGGATCCAAGGGGAGCAACTGAATTAATTCCTCAGAGCTCCACGTTCACAGCTTTCTTCAAACGACTCTGCGCGCCCAATAATATTGTAGATCTCTGTTATCTGCCTTTTGATTTACTACTTGGCGCCAGCAATCCAGCGCAAATGAATAAGGTGCGTACGAAAATAATCACTTTACTTCATATTAAATTCCGGATTATCGTAAAAAAAATATTGCGTAAAAAATATTGGGATCCTAGGCTTTTTTCATTTATTGTCGTCACAAATTTTGCAGGAAATTCAGTCTCCCAAGATTTTCTGTGGGGGATAACAATACTCCGAGAAAAGAAACAAGATTTGCAAGAAAGATCACGTTACAGAGTGGAAAATTCAATATTTGCTTTACATTTTCTCATTAAATTTTGTATAAAAATAACAGAAATATAATTTTGCTCTCCTATTCGCGCACGAAAAAATGTCATGGAAAAACCTAATGACTTCGTTAGAAAATTTAATTGGATTTTGATTGAACTTTCTGTTAGTTTTTGTCCAGTTGTGTTGAAAAATTCCTGAATTTATCACCCCCTTTTTTTAATAGAAATGTTCAGTAGAAAATGTTTTACAGAAAAATTAATAATATTCGATCTTTCTATACAATTTACTATATTCAAAGATTTTTTATAGAAATTCTTTACCCCAAATTTTTCAAATCTTTTGTTTGATTTTTTTAAATGAAAAAAAAATAGAGTGGAAAAACTCGAAACATTTATATTCAGGAATTCTTGTGGAAAGTGTCTGAATAGAAAAAGTTCTACTGATTTTTTCTGTAATATATTTTCTATTGAACATTTTCTGTGAAAAAACAGTAAAGTTTTTTTGTCCAATTCTTCAATAGAATGGGACAAAAAAATTTCAAAAGAAATCTAATGGAATTTGCTAGGTTTTGCTGTGAAGATTGTACATTACTTCGTATGGTTATTTCTTATAACCATTGTTGCAGGCGACGCTCATTAATTATCTAAATTACTACCCTGCTGGAACATCTGCCAAGGCATTTTATCAGTATCGCCAACATGCGCAGACCGGTAAGACAATAAAAAAAAAAATGATGACATTTTCAATATCGATAAGATACTCCATTTTCGCTGTACGTGGAATTATTTGCATGACTGCACGTATGAAAAAATGCAACAGAAAACCTAGCGAGTTCGCTAGAAAATTCTATTGGAATTCTATAGGGGTTTCTATAGAATTTCTATTGGAATTCTATTGAAAAATATTCTTCGTTTTTTGCGCTAACTCTATTGGATATTCGATAAGAAAAAGTCAATAGATTTCGAATTTCTGTTTGAATTGTTCTCTTGAGAGTTTTTCTATAAGAATGCTTGGGCATCAATTTTCAAGTTTTTTTCACGGAGTCTGCAATGCGGAACAACACAAAATCCTGCGGAAAAAATTTAGAAAATTTGTGCCCAATAGTTCTGATAGAAAAGATCTAAGAGAAAAATTCAAACAGAAACTTGAAATCTAGAGCTTTTCTGATTGAAGATCCAATAGAATCAGCGCAAAAAACAAAAAGAATTTTTTTAATAGAATTCCAATAAAAATCTTATAGAAATCCCATAGAATTCCTATAGAATTCCAATAGAATTTTCTAGCGAATTCGTTAAGTTTTCTATTTTTTCCAAAGGATTTTATCAGTTGACTCACGAAAAAATTGAATACTTTTTTTCATTCTATTTTTCTCTTCTTTGCCCCAAGAAAATCAAACTCAAAAATTTGAGGCGAGTAAATTCTATAGAAATTATCTCAATAGACTGAGTGAAATTAAAAAATCGAACTCCATTGACTTTTTCAATAGAATATAAATACAAAAAATGGTAGAAAGTTCAATAGAAATCCGATTGTTTAGCGAATTCGCTGGGTTTTTCCAAGAAATATTTTCATATGTGCTCTCTTGCAATCGAATCTCCGAAATGAACTCCTGCACTGTGATTTTTCAGGGAAATTTCAACGATACGATTACGAAAATCCGGAGTTGAACCTCAAGCATTACGGCCAAACGACACCGCCACTCTATGACACCAAGAACATCGTTGTTCCGTCAGTGCTATTTCGTGCCGAGAATGATCCGCTGTGTACAGTAGCTGACATCAAGAGCCTGATATCTCACCTCCCTCGTAACCTCTCACTTCTTTACGAGGTTGTTCCTTACAAAGACTTCAATCACCTTGACTTCGTCACCGCCAAAGACGTCAAGACCCTAGTGTACGACAGATTGATGGAGATCCTCACTGGATTCCACAATAAATACGAAAATAATGATGATAACAATAGGATCAAATCTAAGTATAATAATAACATATAATTTTAAGTATTGAATTTGATATTAATATGTATAATCTGTTAATAATAATAATAATTCGAACGAACGTGGTCTTACATTTTCTATATTCATTCGTCCTATAATTGACTATTTGAAGTAGCTTTATCCTCAGGCCGGGCTACGCTGTACTTTTGGATATTTTCAGTTTTTTAATTTTTCAACTAAATTGCATGGAAAAAATTTGAAAAAATTCATACCCAGCCAGAATTATCTAAATTAAATTTCGCAAAATATTGATATTTTTTCAAAAATTTCCCTCTTATAAATAAATAATAAAACTTGTTTGCAAAACGGTGGATTATTTTTCATGAGGTGTCAAAAAAATTCATGAAAGGAGGTTTAATCCGAGTGTTACTATTCGTGAACTTATGGCTAGCTTTCATCTAGTGAACCACTGTGACATTCCATGTATTATTTTGGTTTGCTTACATTAAGTCTTCTTTCTTTTTTATATATTAAGCGTACCCCCTTGCTACAAGAGAGCACGTTGTAAATTTCCTCTCAAAAAGCAGTAAAGCATTCATTCATATTTAAATACATTATTAATATATTATTTTGTACTTTTATTTACGAATAAAAGACGAAATAAATAGTTCTTTACTTTTTATGTGAATGTTTTTTCGAATATTCATATTTGTCTGATGGGCTCGGAGTGCAGGGGCGGGTGTCGAAATGTAATGCAGATGATTCTCAGATGATTTTCGAATCAGCCACTGCCAAAGACGTCACGCAGGATCAATTGAATAATAATGTATAATCCCATATATTGAATTTGGTAATAATATGTATAATCTGTTAATGATAATAGTTCGAACAACCGTGGGTTTACTACAATTTTTTACATTGATTGATGCGACATCAAGATTTTTTAATCTAGTGATCCAGGTCGAACTTGGTGGGTGCGTCTGGATACTGCTTCTTGTAGAATTCAATGTACTCCAGCTTGCGTTTTTCTCTCAATGCAAAGTACTTTGGATACATGGCTTTCTCGGTTGGATGCCAGTGATCCAGGACCCAGTCGGGGGATTCTCCCTCACGCTCGTAGGCAACACCACCTGGTGATTCAGCGAAATACATGGGTGAAGGATGCTTGCAGTCCCATAGTTCTTCCTCACCCGCGATCAACAGCTCCTTCGCCTTTCGAAGATCTTTTATGTGTTTGTTTGCGTCGAAACGGGCTCTCAGGACGACTGCATCGTACCTAGAGGGAAGAATATTCTCCTTGTGATATAGATGGTGAAGGACATTTCTTATGCAATAGAATTATTATTTGTTATTTATTATAATGAAATAATTAAAATAAATTATGAATTATTTAGTACAAAATGATTTCAAAAAATTAGTATAAAATAATAAACAAATAGAAAGTTCAATAGAATTATTTAATCGAATCATGATTTATCATTTGTTATGATGAAATCATTGTAATAAATAATCATTCTATTGAAAAAACAAATGTTTCAAGAGCAAGAAAAAAGGTTTAAATGAAAATTTCGGTTTGACTTGCATTGAAATTCCATTAGACTTCTTATATACTTCATGGATACTTCAATTAAATGTTTTATAAATATAATTCTTGAGATTTTTGGAGAATTAGATGGGATCTCGAGAATCCAATGCCTCAATTCTGAAGCAAAAAATGTTGATTTCATGGGAAATAAGTGGCATCTAGTACCTGAAATCAGTCAGTATTGAAGACCAGGACTCGAGATTACGATATGCCCGTTTGTAAAGGCTGCAGACCTTTCTCGCGTGCGATACGATACCAGTTGGGAGTGGTCCAGCCATCCTCCGAGCGTTTCTACGTGAGAAATCACAAATAATTGATAATAATCACTGAATCAATTGTGCTTTTATTGCGATCAAAGTCTTGGATGTATTTCTTGGTTGTCCTCAGTGGGTATGTCACTGCAGGGCATAAATAAACGCTTTATAATAATTCAGTAGCGAAGTGGTAAAGTGGTTTTAGTCGATTTTGACAATTGGCCAGTTTTTAGTGAATATCTCGAAATCTAAGGGAGATAGCTAAGTTTTTGTCTGGACCTTTCTTGTAGCACTCAATTTGCTCTAGGAAAAAGGTTCCTACGAAAATTTCATTATCTCCTTTAGATTCGGAGATATTCTTCAAAAACTCAACTAAGAGATAAGTCGACTTAAACCGTTTTACCACTTCGCTACTGAATTATAATAATAATATAATCAACTCATCCTGTGGAAATTCAAGCGGTAAATTTGCCACAACGAAGTAAATTTTAGCATAATTATTGCAAAATACTCCATGATATCCTCAATTCTAAAAATTAATAACTCATCTTTAACTGTTGGATTACCTAATTCAATTTCGGAGAAACGATTTAATGAGATTATGAGTTCAAAAAAAGAATCGACGGAAAGAGCACTGGAGAACGAAATCGATATACACATAAACAATGATTTCATAGGGAAAACGAACTGAGGGTTCTTTGCTTTTAGGTGACGATATTCTTTTGGTCCTTGTGACTGGTTTTTTAGTCTGCTGGAGCAGTTCGTACAGAACACACGTTTCTTCTTCGATCATTTTTAATAAAGAACAAAAATTAGATTTGAATTCACTGCGTTTCACTTAATTTAATTTCCCATTTACAATATTAACAAAAGAAAAATTGATGTTAATTAATTTTTTGACGAAAATACTCTAAAAATGGAATGGGTTATACTCAATGTAATTGAAGTCTGATAACTATGTAATACTAACTATGCAGTATTGTTGTTTTGTTTCACATTGAGTCTATGAATGTTTCGCTGATGTTCTCAATAAATTAAATAAAAACTATGACCTGGAAGGATCTTCATAAACAGTATACTCCACTAATTTTATTCATTGGATGTGTGATAGCACTGAGGGTTCTTTGTTTTTAGGTGACGATATTCTTTTGGTCCTTGTGACTGGTTTTTTAGTCTGCTGGAGCAGTTCGTACAGAACAGACGTTTCTTCCTCGACCATTTTTAATAAAGAACAGAAATTAGATTTGAATTCACTGCGTTTCACTTAATTTAATTTCCCATTTACAATATTAACAAAAGAAAAATTGATGTTAATTAATTTTTTGACGAAAATACTCTAAGAATGGAATGGGGTATACTCAATGTAATTGAAGTCTGATAACTATGTAATACTAACTATGCAGTATTGTTGTTTTATTTCACATTGAGTCTATGAATGTTCGCTGATGTTCTCAATAAATTAAATAAAAACTGTGACCTGGAAGGACCTTCATAGATAGCATACTCCAATAATTTTATTCATTGGATGTGTGATAGTAAATGTAAATGACCCATTATTGGTCCCCAGTAAAACAACAAATGTCAAATTTCAGAAGTTTTACTGATGACCAAAAGCCAGAAAATAATTCACTATTTTATTCAACAATGTCAACAAAAAATGTTGATTCTATGAATTAATCTCCCAGTAGTTTTTCATTCAGATGGCCTTTATCACCCAGTCAAGTATAATTACTCATTTGTTTTGTTTAACATCGAAATTATGATATCTTCAATTCCAAAGATCGACAAATCATCATGAGCGAATGAAAAATTGATCAAGGATCAGATAAAAATCATGAAAAAATACTCACAATCCCTCTGCTCCAATTGATTCCGAGCAATGTTTGGTTATGTCAGCCCCCCAATTCCAGGAATGACCCCCAGATGTCTCGCTCCCTCGCATACGTACCCTAGGATTGGTATTTATCCTCTATTTGGGCGAGCGCCCAGCTGACCTTTCGTCGCCAGCAGTCGTTGTGAGTGCAAAATTTTCATGGCGTCGCTCATCGTGCATCGTACCATCGGCCGTTTGAGTTTCTAAAGTGTCTGGTCGCCCGCACGGTGAGTTTGTCGTTTACCATTGTCGTTTCATTCACGGTCCCTTAACATTTTATAATCCAAGCGCTCTTCCAACGCAATATCATCGTCCGCTATGAAAGCTACTTCTAAGCGTATCGGTTTCTATAACAGCAGCAAAAACTGCCGAATCCCTCCACGAAGCGATTTTCCGCTGGATGAGAGTAATGTCGCATTTACAATATTGCATTCGATATTTCGGCTTCCAAATTTTGAAATAATTGCGCTCTCAGCGGGTTAAATTCAATTTTTTTTCGATGATTTGTCAGATGATTCGTCATCTGGCTGTTGTTAAGTTATGGAATGTTGAATTAATTTTTTGTTTGTGGGGGAAATATTGGAATGTGGCAGTAGAGAGATTTTAGGGGACAAATAATAATTCTATAGAAAATTTTAGCGGTTAAAGTGTTCTATAGAAATTGGCTATAGAGTCATTCTGTAGACGGCTATGAAGGAATTCTTCAATGTTTTCAAGATTTTTTTATCGTAAAAATGTCCGAAATTTTGATAGATTTTGGCTATAGAATTGAACTATAGAAAGTTTTTTTATTTTCTCCAGAATTGGTCTATAAAGTTGTTCTATAGCCGTCTATGGACAACTTCGCCAATGTTTTCTAGATATTTTTTATGGAAAAATGGCCGAAATTGCGATAAAGTATGGCTATAGAATTAAAGTAGAGAGTTTTCAATTTTCTGTAGAATTAAATGGCCTATAAAGTTGTTCTATAGACATCTGTGGAGGAATTTTTCTGCTTCGAAGATTTTTTCCCAACAAATAGGCGACACTTCGATAAAACTTGTCTATAGAATTACCCAATAGAAAGTTTTTAATTTTCTATATAATTCGTCTATAGAGTCGTTCTATAGACATCTATGAGGGAATTCTCTAATTATTTCAGAATTTTTCTTGCGAAATATGAACAAAGTTTTTATGAAAGTTGTCTATAGAAGATTATAGAAAGTTTTACCGTTTCTATAAAATTTAACGAATATGAATTCTATCAAAATTTCAAAATTCAGAATTTTCTATAGAATTTGCAAACTTGTTCTATAGACACCTGAGGAAATTCTCCAATTATTCCAGGATTGTTTTTTGAAAAATGAACAAAATTTTTGAAAATTTTCTCAATAGACCTAGACTATTGAAGGTTTGACATTTTCTATAAAATTGGCCCGTAAAGTCGCAGTATGGACACATATGAGGGAATTTCCTGTTTTTAGGATTTTTAATGGACAGAATTTTCATAGGTAGTCATGTGTTTGAAATTTTCTATTGAATTTTTCTGTACACTGGTTCTATAGCCACCTATAGAAAAAATTTACAATGATTCGAAAGATTTTGTTGCTAAAATCTACGAAATTTCGATAAATTTCCCCTATAGAAGAGTTCTATAAACTTCTATAGACGGATTCTATAGCAGTTTGTTCTAAACAATATGGACATTTTCTCAAAATTTTTCGATGTCATCATAGAATTGACGAATAGAATCGTTTCCGTAGAGAATAAAATTCTATAGAAATTTCGTATTCGCCCAAGGCTTCCCTAAATGTTTGTAAATTATCCTATTTCAGGTGTTTTCATTTCCTAATTCCATTTAATGTGACAATGGTACCGACAATGCCCCCCGACGCCCACAAAATATCCCTCAAAATTATAGAAGCTATCAAGCAACATCCAGTACTGTACATATCCGATGTCAAAGGAACTGCAATCAAACTTCAGGAATTTCGACAGAAAGTCTGGAAGAGAATTTCTGACGAATTAGGATTGGATCGTAAGATTCATCGTGAATTAATTCAATATAGCCTACATCTAATCATTTAAATATTTATTTATACCGATGTTTTGCAGCTGCTTGGGTCAGACTCAGATGGAAAAACCTCAGAGACACGTATTGTCGAATATTGAAGTATAAAAATCGAACTAATAAGGGGTCGAGAAGGAAGAAATGGGTGTTCGAGGATCATCTTAGTTTTCTCAAATTTCCGTTAGTATTTTTTCTATAACTTGAATTATTCGTTGAATATGACTTTATTGAGTTCTTAAAAATTTCTCATTGCATTTTAATGTAAAACAAATGATATTTCTCGGAGAAAACTTCATGTTTTAAAAAAATTAAATTTCTTAATGAGTGAATTCAGGGGAAAACGTCTGGTTTTAATAAATAATGTAAGAATACATAAATTAACTAGTTAATATCGAATAAAATTATATTTTCTAGATACAAACTGAAAAAACAATTTTTTTTCAAATGGATAAAAATTCCAGTTATTTTTTACACTGATTTCTATTGAAAAATTTATGTCCAAGCATTTTCACCAGAATTTTAAGAGAATTCTAACAGAAATTCAATGAAATTTGAAGAAAGCCTCAGCTTTTTTAATGAAAAAAAATTTTTAAAAATGCAAAAACAAATAAAAACGAATAAATAAATAAAGGAATTAATGAATTAATTAATATCGAATAAAATTGCATTTAGATACGAACCTGATTACCAGCCCCAGTGTGTCGAGCTCTCGGACGAGTACATAGAGGAAATAAATGCAAGTGGAATGAGCACGGAAAACCTGCTAGAGCAGTTGGAAGACCGTAGCGACGAGGACTACAGTGAATACCTAGAAGTCCTCGAGGAAACGGCAGCAGACCCGATCCTCCAGGATGACAGCCAAGTCGTGGAGATCCTGGACTGCGTCAACGAGGAAGACTTGAACCCAGAAATGGTAGAGAAAGACAGTGCCACTCTGCAAGTAGAGTCTTACGCTCGAGAGATCGAGAACAATTACATCAGGATACGTCCGAAGAAGATGAAGTTCGATCACGATGTGCAATTAGGTGCCTCCAACGTGTCCCCCAATGATGGAACAAAAATAGATTCAAACATCAATACAATTGTCATATCAACAAGTGACCTACCTGCCCCAGAAGACATCGAAACGACTGAGAATGATCATAACGATCAGGACAATGACCACGAAATCAGCCTGGACCATTCGAACCCTAAAGAGTGTTACGCCGAGGAACTGCCAAAGACCAGCATAGAACTATTCTTCGACAGTATGGCTCAGACAGTGAGACTACTCCCCCCAAAAGCCCAGGCAGAGGTCAAGATGTCAGTGTGTAGAATAGTGACAGAAGCTGAAGTCAAATATTCCAACAAAAAAAATATCCACAATGTTCAGAAATTCATAGCTCCCCCTGGAATGATCCCCAAACTAGTGTTGATACCCTGCAGTATGATCGACAATCCCAGCAACAGCAACTGAATGATCTTACTCAGTTATTTATTTGTCACTGCTCAAGTTTGTTGAAAATGAAGAAATAATTGCTGAATGTTACCATTGGATGCCCTGCCAAGACAGCATCACTCGAGATCGAGAAGAATTACATCAGAATACGTCTGAGGAAGATGAAGTTTGATCATGATGTGCATTCAGGTGCCTCCAACGTGTCCCCCAATGATGGAACAAAAATAGATTCAAACAACAATACAATTGTCATATCAACAAGTGACCTAATTCCCCCTGGAATGATCCCCAAACTAGTGTTGATACCCTGCAGTGTGATCGACAATCCCAGCAACAGCAAGTGAATGGTCTTACTCATATATTTATTTGTCACTGTACAATTTTCTTGACAATACAAAAATAATCACCAGTCCTTCATCATGGGGATTTTTATGATACATTGCACTGGGGGAACTTACACCAACAGTTGATAATCATCGTTAATCGTAAATAAAGGAGGATTACTAAATTATTAATTCGCTGTCGACTCTTTAGTTAATTTAATTCGTTAATTATTTCAGAAATTTGTGAAAGTGGTAGTGATTCTGCGAATGGAAGAACTGTTACATGTCTGATTATTATTAAATATGGAAGACAATAGAGTAATTGAAAATAAGTGTTTACAGTCTGAATGAATTGACAGAATAGATGGAGATGTTGTTATGATAGTATGAATTTTTGTTATTAATTGCGAACAGATCTTGCCTTCGTCTTGGTAAAGATCTTAAATACAACAATGATAAAAACGACAATTAAAAATAAAGTGAAAATTTTTTTAAAGCAATATAATGTATCATTTAGTCACTATACGTAGTTTGCATTCATAATCTCATATTTTTCACATCCTCATTTATTCACAGCCTAAAATTAGTTAATATTATTTTTACACATGAACGTTATCCTGTCAGATCTCCATCCCAACTAGATTAAATTGCACTATTGTACAGTTTGAGAGCTTCTCATTATAGTTCGATATTAATTCTATGAACGGTGATGGGAGTTGTGTCGGCCCATCTTGTTTATTCGAGACTAGAAAATATGGAAGTTATGAAGACAGAGAGAGACCGAGTCGAGCAAGCACCATCTCCTTTCGTAATCGTGCTATTTCCCAGTAGACGTCTTGCACTGGAAATAGACAATGGATTATTGAGGGTGAGGAATGTGCACTGTTTTTGGTTCACATGCGGAGAAATGTTTTTTTTATTAAATAAATTGAATCGGCTTTTTATTGCAATCAAATGAATGGGTTTTCAATATGAATCAATTTTTTACAGGAAAATTGTATAGGAAAACCTAGCGAATTCGCGAGAAAATTCTATTGGATTTCTGTTAGATTCTATTGCATCTTTGAATTTTCCATTAGTTTTTTTTATCTGCTCGCTTTATTTTTTATTCTATGGAAAAATCTTGGATAGAATTTACAGAAAAAAATTATAAATTTTATTCTGAATCTATAATTTTTTTCGATAGAATGAAAATTATAATACTATAGAAAATTCTATAGAACAAAAAATAAAATTCTATAGGAAAAGAAAATCTATAAAAAATAGTCTTCTACAGATTTTTCTATAGAATCTATTGAGATATTTCCTATAGAAATTCCTGGACTTAAATTTCTATAGAAAAATGTCTCGATAGGAAAAACTCTGCAGAAAGATGAAAATCTATTGATTTTTCCTATAAAAAAACGAGCAGTTAAGCTGCGGAATTATGTTGATTGGAATTTTTGGGCATGACTTTTCTCATTTTTTTCATTTTATTATGAGAAGCAAATTGAAATACAGTGGAAGAAGCATAAAAATTTATATAGAAAAATCAAAATCTGTTGATTTCTTTTCTATCAAATATCTGTTAACAGAATCACATGATAAACATGTCTAATCTCATATAGACAGCGTAAAAAATGTTTATCAATTGAATTTCAATAAAAGTTCAAGTGAATTCTGATAGAGTTGCAATAGAAATTGAATCCAACTTCTTAGAGACTGCTCTAGGTTTTTCTACTGAATTTTTTCATGAATAACATTTCATTCCCTGTGTAGTAGGTGGTACTTACCTGAACTTTTGACGAGACCACGCTCGACGTAGCGAAGATAATTGAGGAAATCACAAACTGCGGTTATCTGGCGAAGTAAATCGATTGAATTATGTGATATATTTGAAGAGGTGCAGGATTGGGAGAGAATTCTCCGATAAGTGCCTTGGAAATTTGATTTGGTGCTGAATTTAATAGTGAACACGTAGTGGTAACACGTGACGGAAGGAGTCGACTTTTCATGTCCTGTTAAATGTCTATTTACCTGGTCAATGCGTTATTTTCCTTGAAAATCACTTTTTTTAACGCACGTGTAAGCAAAAAATTTATAGACAAACCAAGCACTTTTTAGAATTTGTATTGAATTCTTGTTGGAATTCTATTAGAATTCTATTGAAAGATTCTATTTGTTTTTTTGCGCCAACTCTATTAAAAAATATGCAACATCCCGCGTTTTTAAATAGATATTCATTTATAGAAAAATGTCTATAGATGTTGATCTTTCTATAAAAATTCTTAGGTATGATTTTTGTAACTTTTTCCTTTGATTTTCTTATGAAAAACGAATAACAATTCAGCGGAAAAAACTTGAAAAATTTACGCCCAAACATGTCTATAGAAAAATAAAAATAAATAACTTTTTTCTATCAAATATCTGTGAACAAAATTACACGATAAAGTAGCTTAATCTTTTATAAAAATGGCGCAAAAACAAATAGAATTTTTTAATAGGATTCTGCTAGAACTTCAAGGCAATTCTTATAGAGTTCCAACAGAAATTCAATAGAATTTCGTAGAGAAATGTCTAGGTTTTCCTATTAAATTTTTCATGCGTGTACTATTTCATTTGTTGGATAAAATTCAACAGAAAAAAATTCCAATTCACTAAAAAACTCAAATTCGCAACTACAAATTCAGCTGTTGTTAAATATTTCCAAATCCGATTTTTTGCAGCTCTCACTTTCTCTATAAAAGACCATTCTAGTGAATTTCCCAGTCTCCCTTCAACTCCGAGACATCTTACAAGAGCAAAATTCTGAATAAAATCGACTCATTCCACCACTCCGCTAGTGAATTGCCGCTCCATTCCTCTGAAACATCTCGTTCCATTCAAATTCCCATGCACTATTTTGAAATTCAATCAGTCGCTTCGAAAGAGCAGCGCCCGTACATATTGACAGACCCTGTTTACTTCCATCGACAAGGAAGGGACTTTAAAATTGAAATTTCAAGTTTCTCTTTTTTTCTCCATTCTCCACGTCTCAATAACCTCGGAGTTATCCTACCCTATCTTCAAGGATTCTTCTATCAAAGCGCGTTTGAAGAAATTACTATGTAGAGGAAAATCTTGCGATTTTTCTAGGAAATTCTATGGGGATTGTTAGGGAATTCTATAGATTTTTTTCTTGAGTCTGTTATTAGAAATCTATGCACCCACTATTCGATAAGGGCATTGTGTTGAATTTCTGGAGGACTTCTATTGGAGAATTTCGCAGATTCATGATGCGTCTTTTACAGGAAATGTTAAATAGAAACTATTTTATAGAAAAAATCAGTAGAAACGTTTCTATACGACGTTTTCTATTGGGATATTTTCTGTAGGAATTTATTTATGAATTTTCCAAATTTTGTCAGTATGTTTTTCTTCTCTTTTCATTACAAAAATCAAACAAAAAAACTGAGGAAATAGTCGAGGAATTCCTATAAAAAATATCTCAATAGAATAAGTTGTGTAGAAAAATTGAATTCCTTTTATTTTTCTATAGGATTTTTTCTATAGAAATTAAAATACGGCTCACGAGGGTCAGATTCAGGGTCACAAGGGTAGAATAAGGGTCTTAATAAGAGTCACAAGGGTCAGATTAAGGCTCATATGGGGTAGATTAAGGGTCCCAAGATAAAGGGCCGGATTGAGGGTTTAAATAAGGGTCACGAGGGTCGGAATAAGGGACATGAGGGTCAGAGTAAGGGTCACAAGGGTTGGAATAAGGGTCGCAAGCGTTAGATTCAGGGTCATGAGGGTTAGATTCAGGTTCACAAGGGTAGAATAAGGGTCTTAATAAGAGTCACAAGGGTCAGATTAAGGCTCATATGGGGTAGATTAAGGGTCACAGGATAAAGGGTCATATTGAGGGTCTAAATAAGGGTCACGAGGGTCGGAATAAGGGACATGAGGGTCATAGTAAGGGTCACGAGGGTTGGAATAAGGGTCGCAAGCGTTAGATTAAGGGTCATGAAGCTCAGATTAAGGTTCACAAGGGGCAGATTAAGGCTCATATGGGGTAGATTGAGGGTCACAAGATTAAGGGTCAGATTAAGCGTCTAAATAAGGGTCACCTGGGTCAGATTAGGACAGAATAAGGGTCCAAATAAGGGTCACGAGGGTCAGATTGAGGGTACAAATAAGGGTAACAGGGGTCAAAATAAGGTTCATGGGGGTCATATGGGCATCACATGGGGACCACATGTGGGTTGGCGAGCGAAGCGAGCTGATTAAGATTCATTTATAATAATTATGTAATATTTGGTTTTCCCTCAGGAGTTTTTTACATCTCAAGAAAAAAATAAATTTCTTCAAATCTAATCCAAAAACCCCCAACTCACCCGATTCCTGCAGACCTGCGATATCGTGTGCCACTGGTTCTCGTGATCCCCAAGCCTCATTCTGTGCTGGCACTGTCTCGTCACCTCCAGCAGTGCACAATCCTGTGGAAATCCCTGCTTGACCTTGTCACTGATCGCCTCGATGAAAATAACCCCACCGAGAACAGCCTCCCGCACCCTCACCCCGAGCGCTGAATTCGGAAAGTCCAGACACAGATCGATATCCTCCCTGAAGACCCTCCCAACAAATGCATCGCTCTGACTCAAGCAAGGATTGGCCTTCCAGGTCAGGAACTCGGCCTGCAGACGAGGATCGATCTCCATTCCCAGGTCAACCTGGCCGTCCTTGCTCGTGACACGATCGCCCTCACCCCCTTGGTCCCTCTCATCCCTCTCGGAATCCCGAGGCTCTTTGACATCCCCCCTCTCCCGAAACTGTCTACACCCGAGGGAATTGTCATTGCAGTGCACCTCGTGGTGTGCAGATGCCGAAAAAATGGGCTTCTGCTCCTTGACGGGCGAGTCCGGAGGGGAGTTCTCCCTCCCGTACTTGAGATTCATGTGGGAGGGCGATCTTCGGTGCTTCTTCGCGAAGATTCCACCACTGCCACCAGCGTCATCGGCGGAGCTAGTGGATTTGCACCTGACGGCGCACCTACCGATCAGAAGCACGCGAATATGATTTTCGGGAATGTGACGTGCGAAGGATTTTCGTAGAAGGAGCTAACGAATTCGATGGAGAATTATACTGAATTTCTATTCAAAGTGGTTTTGGGGTCATTTAAATTTAAATTATCGACAGGAAAGTAAAAAGAGCTCTGTCCGTCCGATATTTTTAATCTCAGAAACGAGAAAAGTATTATTTAGTGTCACATCAACACAAATACCGAATCATTACTTTTATCATCATGATTTCTGAATCATTACTTTTAGTAATATTATGAGAAGTTGCAGCTTATAGTAATTTAAATTTATTTATCGTAATTGAAATTCGAAAATTAATATAATAATTGGTAATTTACTTTTTCAATTATTGGTTGATGAAATAATTCGAATTTCAATACTTAAGTTGAGGATTAGTAAATTAATTCGGAATTTGAAATTTAAATTGATGGTTATTTTTAAAATAAAAAAATTGGTGAGTGATATTAACAATTTACTTATTCCAAATTTAACTGGAATTCAAAATTTCGGTTATGCCGATGTCTGCACACGAGTGGATTACGGTTCAGTTTATTTCATTTTTCCACTTTGTGGGTACCTAAAGTTTTGTTTGCCGAGCAGACCAAGCATTATTTCAACAAAAAAAGGACCTGAGATAAGTAATTTTATTTAAAAATCGATAGATTTTTCTTGTCACGTAAATGCAAAAAAAGGGGAATTTCAGTTAAATTCACTATAACACGATTTAGAGCGCTTGAGAGAGAACTAATTGGAGAAATAATACGTTCTGACGTGCCTATGTGGACTACTATGCAATATGAACGAGTATCTAAAATGATTATTAGTGATTTAAACATTTACTTTGCTATTGAACTCTCCATTTTTTCATGAGTATTAAATTTAGCAATGACTATATTTAAAGCGTGATTTAATAATTTAAATGTGTATATTTAAATTATTCTCTGCAATTTTTCTTCTTGTAGTCGTGTATTTTCTCTTTACGTTGTTGAAAGAAGTTGAATTTCCGAGCAGAGCAAGCATTATTTCAACAAAAAAAAGAATCTGCGATAAGTAATTTTATTTAAAAATCTATAGATATTCCTTTCGTCGCGTAAATTAAAACAAGCAGGCGACCGACCCTATTCGACAGAAGACTTGTGACACCACACTGTTATGTCAAAAGTCTTCATTTTTCTGCTACCAATTACATTGGTTATAAGCTTCCGAAGGGAAGAAGTGCATCGTCTATTTTTTATTTTTATTATTTCAACCGTAGTATATAAAATCATTTCGTCCTCTTAAAAATTTCATATGTAAAATTATGTGGTTTTACTCCGATTCAATTATTTCTCTCGATTTCATTCGTATTTTCCAAAACAGACTGATCTGTGCTGATGAATACACGTCCCATTCGAATTCAAAAAAATCATTCTCATTCCAGATGGTATTCCATAGTGCAACTTTTCTTCTTTCATATGGAATAGGAGGTCATCGAGACAAGTATTTAAAAAAAAAAAAAATTTAATCCCTCGAGAAGTAAAGGAGTTATTGGCCAAAATGGGTTTCCACAAAAAATTGAATATCTCGCGAACCGCTCGGTCGATTTTGCCCATTCAAAATACCATTCGTCTATGTCATGAAAGCTACGAACATACCAAATTTCAAGTCAACAACAACCTTTTTTATCGAGTTATCGCGCGCACAACGTTTTTCGCAAAAAAACAGATTAACGGCAATATCTCTAGACTCAACAGCGATTGTTCGATATATTATGGGTGCTTCAGATGGAGGTCATTGGGACGAGTATTTCAAAAAAAAAAAAAATTTAATCCCTCGAATAGTTAAGGAGATATTTGCCAAAATGGATTTCTACAAAAAATTGAATATCTCGCGAACCGCTCGGTCGATTTTGCCCATTCAAAATACCATCCATCTATGTCATAAAAGCTACAAGCATACCAAATTTCAAATCGATATTAACATTTTTTATCGAGTTATCGCGCGCACAACGTTTTTCACAAAAAAACCGATTAACGGCAATATTCCTAGACTCAGCAGTGATTGGTCTATGTATTATGAATGATTCAGGTAGAGATCATCGAGACGAATATTTTGAAAAAAAAAAGTTGAAATCGGTGCATTTATTGAGGAGATATAGCTGAAAAACGAAATTTAAACAATTGGCAATATCTCAGGAACTACTGGACCGATTGAGCCCAAATGGAGCCACAAAGTGGGGCTTATTCATAGCTATCATCAGTAAAAATTTCAAGTTTTTATCTGCGAATTTCACCGTATTTATGTTAAAATTTCTAAAAATAAACCCCCAAAACAGCCATTCTGCACATACATACAGACGCAACCTCAAAAACATCATTTTTTCACGTTTCATGACATTCTAGATCATTTGCAATGAAAATTAGAAAATCGAAAAATCGACCAAAAATAATGCTTCCCTTCGGAAGCAAAAAGGGGGAATTTCAATTAAAATTCAATATAACACGATTTAGAGTATTCGAGATAGAACTAATTGGAAAAATAATACTACTTGATGTGCCCATGTGGAATATTATTTAATATTAGGAACGAGTATCTAAAGTGATTTAAATATTTATTTTGCTACTGAACTCTCTATTTTTTTTATGAATATTAAATTTAACAATGACTATGTTTAAAGTGTGTGAATTATTCTTTGCAATTTTTCTTCTTGTGGTCGTGTATTTTCTCTCTACGTTGTTGAACAAAGTTGAATTTAGTTTCAACCTCATATTTAAATCTATGTTTAATGGTGGTTTGAACAGTTTTATAATATGTTATTCTCGGTGGAATTGATTCTCTCGATTGCTGCATTCGTTGAATTAATTTTTATTGAGAATTGTTTATCGCGTGTTTGGTTCGACGAGGTGTTTCTGTTTCGGGTGTCAATATTTCTGATTTGCATTGTAATTCTCATTGACTTGGTCTCGCTCATCCGGTTGATATGGTTCAAATAATTTCTCTATTTCGAATGTAGTAAAATCTATGAGAGGTAACATAAAACTATTATACTTTTATCAACCGTTGTTAACACATTCCTCAGTTTGAGGAAACGAGAGGCCGAACGTGAAGAGTGAAGACAGTGAAGAATGCTAATGGTCAATGTTCTCTCCTACCGAGTGCCAGTCAATTCTTTTTTTTAAAGATTGAAAAGACGTATGTGTTGAATTTCATTTTTTTCAAAAATCGTTTTCTCGAAAAAAATTCAGAAACAGAAGTTGATATTGCGCCTAAAAAATACTCTTGATCAATTCCACAAGCTCTGAAGAGGATTTCCCCAAGAAATAATTTCCCAAACTACTTGCACATCCTCAAAATCCCCAAAATCAACATTTCCTTTCATTCCGGTTTAGATCCTGCCTCATCTTTCACTTCATTGTCTCCAATTGCCTTTGAATAACTAAAATAAAATAATTCTTTTTTTTGAAGATTGAAAAGACGTATGTGTTGAATTTCATTTGTTCAAAAATCGTGTTTTTGTAAAAAATTCAGAAACAGAAGTTGATATTGCGCCTAAAAAATACTCTGAATCAATTCCATAAGCTCTGAAGAGGATTTCCCCAAGAAATAATTTCCCGAGCTACTTGCACATCCTCAAAATCCCCAAAATCAACATTTCTTTTTTATTTCGCTTCAGATCCTGCCTCATCCATAACTTCATTGTCTCCAATTACCTTTGAATAACTAAAATAAACTCACCTGCTATCGATCTGCGGATGAAGATGAGGATTCGGTTGTGCTGGAGTTGAAGTCAAAACCAGAGTTTTGAGAGCAACAACTTCAGCCGCGAGGACTTCGACCTTCATTCGACTCTCTTCGAGTAGTCTCTCAGCAGTTGCCTGACGCATGTTGGCCTCCCTCACCATATTGTGGGCCTCTTGGAAGAGACTCGCTGTGAGCTCCTCCAATTCAGTCTCGACGTCTTGCCTGAATCGTAACAATCTCGTCACCTCCTCGTCCTTGAGCTTCAGCTCCTCATGGGCTTTCTTGAGTTCCTCTTGGAGTTTCGTTATCGCATGCTCCTTCACCTCGGCAACTGTCTTCTCCCAGTTGCGTTCGGCAGGTGTTAGAGTTGACTCGCTATCCACTGGGGCCTTTGTACTTCCGAGGCTCGTGGGGATTGTCTCGTAGGTGGTCGGCATCGTTGTAACTGGTTCTGATAAGTTCTGGCTTGTCAGAGGTAGTGATAAGGGTCTGCTTATGCGGATGAAGTCACAGACTTTTGGGTCGTTATTGAGCACTTCGTTGCGCTTATCTGTGTCCTCATTTTTACGGAGATTGATGGGCTTTTTGGGGTCTTCTGAAGGTGAGTGAGAACTCGTCGGACAGAATGGCTTTTCGTTGTACATGAAATGGGCCGAAGACCCGTTGTGAGAACTGAAAATTAATGGGAAATCAAATAAACGAGGATTTTTTAAAATCCTAATCTCCTGATTTGGTGAAAAGAGGACAGATTTTTCACTATGAATTCAGAAATCTCTGGAGTTAGAGACGTGAAAATTTGTACGTAAACTCTTCGAAATTAATGAATAGGTTTTCTTCATTCTGGAGATATGTAAAGTTATGTAAAAAAATATAGAATGTTCGTCAACGAAAAACAAGTGAGAAATTTCTTTCGTTACAGGATAGCCAGTATATTTTTGCTAATAAATTAGCAGTTTGATTCTGAATGGAATTTTTGACGATGTATTCTAAATTGAATTCAATGATTCATTCTCAATGTCGGCAGCCAGCATTGTCCCAACGCAGGCAGCCAACGTTGCACCAACACTGGCCCGACGTTGGCAGCCAACATCGCCCCAACATTAACCCAACGATGGAAGCCAATATTACCCCGACATCGGCCCAACGTTGGAGCAATGTCGGGGTAATGTTGGCTACCAACGTTGCCGGCCAACATTACCCCAACATTGCCCCAACGTTGCCGGCCAACATTACCCCAACATTGGCTCAACGTTGGCGGCCAACATTACCCCAACGTTAAATTTGTTTACCTTCCTCTAACAACAAATGCCGCAATCGATCTCCTGATTAAACTCGGTCAAAATGGCATCGTGAAAAATATTGTAAATCACAATTGGATTCATTTAAACACTAATATTTTTAGTTATCATCGAAAAACAATCACTCACACATACATCTGCACTGAAAACAGTATATTCAAACCCCTGAGGGCAAAATCAATTACCCTGCCACAAAAAATTGAAATTTCCGACGTGACGAATCCAACGCTTCGGAAGCAATTATTGAAAACATTTTCCAATCTCACCTGTGCGGACGAATATTCCCCTCATCCTCATCAAACAAACTGGTAGGCTCCTCATCCTCTCCTTTCGTCGAGTATCCAAACAAATCCGTGGCAGCACGTGCAAGATCAGACTTTAAAATGGGATTAGGCTGATGATGAGAAATTCCAGTGCAATCAGCCTCATCGGGATACAGCTCATCCTCATCAGTGGTGTACTCCTCATCGCCTGTAGTGCCGGTACTTCCGGCACGTCTGTGTTTCGTTGTAAGAGGACGGTACGCATACTCACTGCCAGCAGTCACTGAATCACTCGAGTCCATGGAATTGGGTTGCTGTTGTTCCACCGCTTTCATTTTTTCCCCTTTTCTATTTTCTCGTTAATATATCATTCTTTTCTATCCACCTGCAAGAATAACCGGTGTTATTTCAGCATAATATACATAAGAATTTTTTGTTTCTTCTCACGAACGTTCATTTAGTCCATCCGGCCTCTTTGCTTACTAATGAAAAAAGAAATAGAAATCTGCAATTCAGCTGACGGGGGAATTTTGCTTCCTCTTTTCAGTCGACACTGGTCTTTTTTGTTTCCCACTATTGTTCGAAGCACTTGTACGTACGTGTATGATATTATCATGATAATAGTTTTCTCTCATTCGCTTTTTCCATCTGTATGAAATACTGGTGAACGTGTGCATGACTATTTTGATATAGATGTTAGATAACAATGAGAATCTCAATGCCTTGATATGTGTGATTCAATCAAGCTGTGGCTGATAACCTTGGCGGCAAGTTAGTTTGATTACTGATGCGCTTGTTCCTAGTATTAACAGGGAGATTAACTATACCAAAGGTCATGTACAATTTGTCATTTATTCCTTCATGCGCAAGTGTGAAATTTTGTGTGATAGCCTTCGCTTGAAGGATTCGTTGGGTGTTAATTAACTGATTCAGCTGGGTGTTTCCCATGTATTAATAATTCATCAATATTCAGGTTATAAAATGAGGCGTGGATGAAGAAACACTATTATTTACTGTTAAGAGGGTTGCGAGGGTTGAAAGGGCTGTCAGAGTCATTCAAATAAACCGCGCGCTTAGGATAGGAGATGACGGAAATCCTGTGAAGACCTTTTGGAGACTTAGGAGTATGAGAAACTCGAGGGTTTCAACGGTTGAAGAGGGTTATGAGGTCTTTGTAAATGTGGTCTCAAGATGGGAGACGATGGAAATTGTTTGCAGACCCTTGAGAGACACTTTAGAGACTTAGGAGTATGAAGGTTGAACGGGCTAGGAGGTATTTTGAAAATGGTTTCATGATGGAAGATGGTAGAAACCCTTTGGAGGCCTTTAAACTCTTTGGAGACCGTTGAGAGACTTTTTGGAGACTTAGAGACATGAGAACTACGAGGGGCGGGAGGCCTGCAAGTCATTTTGACAACGTTTCATGATGAGAGACTTGAGGGTATGAGACACTCGAGGGTCACGCAGAATTGAAGGGCCAATAAAGGTTCTTTTAGCCTTGGTCTCAAAATGGGAGTCGATGGAAGCTGAAGATCTTTGAGAGACCCGTTGGAGACTCAGTGGCATAAGGGTCACGAGGGTCAAAACGACTATGAGTCATTTTGAAAATAGTTTCATGATGGGAGTCGGTGGGAACCCTTGAGAGACCCTTTGGAGACCTAGGGGCATGAAAAATTCAAGGGTCACAAGGGTCGAAAGGGCTGTAAGACTCAAAATTTATCAACTATTCACAAATAGCGCACTTATCTCCACTTTTTTCCGTCAATTAATTCATTTGTTGACTATTAACGAATTTTCCTCGTTACATATTCAATTCTGCCACTTTACAACAATTAAAAGCCCTCGTTAACACTAAATGAGTCTTTCTAAACCTCTCGAATAACATCCGTGGATGACGAACAATTCGAAAGGCTTCATAACTCTCATCTTACACCGTACGAAGACAAATTCGTTCAACTAAATCAATGAATTCCGCGCGTGGGTAGTAAAAAAAATTCTCCATTGCCATTATTCGCTGGAATTTAATCTCGTGGTATTTGACAGAATCATCGTCCTGTTCTTCTCTGTTCGTGCCACGAGTGTATTCTCCCGGAGTGAATGGTACACCCTGGCACGGCATTACTATTATGTATAGTTATATGTACACGAGAGAGAACCTACAATCAACTGCAAACCAGCATCAGTCAATGCCCGCCCTCTCTTTCTAGCTGTTAGTTTCTGCAGCACGAGAGAAATAACTTGATGGTAGTGGAAAGGTGAATGCGATTCAAGCGCAAGTAGAACGGCCTCGGGTAACGGTACACTCGGGCCCCCAGACCATGTTTCAATTTATTTGATATTCTAATTTTCGGTTCTAATCGGGAGAATATGAGGAATTTCACTGATTACTGGGTTTTCAATCCTCCGATGATTAAATTTTTTTTCTCAATGTTATTATTGAAAAGATTACGAAAACGTTTTTTTTATTTTTTATTTTATATTTATAAAAGAATGAAACGTTGCTCAAATCTTTGGAAAAAAAGGAAAAATATAAAAAAATTAGAATCAATTTTTGTTAATCGAAAAAAATTCATATGCGTAGAATTTTTTTTAGAAAATTGAAAAAAAAATTAAGTGTTTTGAATGTTGTGTGGCTCCACTGTGCCTCTGCCTAGACATGAAAAATGCCCAAGGATCATTTTCCTGAATTGACTTCATTTCTCTCACCCAGAAAATTAAAACCTAATCTTCAAAACTTTCCTATCATAAACATTTCACCAAAAAGAAAGAAATCATCGACCCAAATCATAAAGTCATGATTAATAATTGGAAAAATGACTTGACGATATAAATTTCCCCACAATTCCACAGCTCGATTGATTCCCAAGCCTAATTGATGAAAGGAATTGACCCGAAGACCCGAGAGGACAGAGAACTCTGAGCCCGTGTGCGTGCGCCTGAAACCGTATGTGTATCCGATACGATTCATAATACCTACGTCACAGTGATTTCTCTGTGGAATTATCCACGCAAGAGAAACGAAGAAGGAATCGAAAAAAATATACGCGAGTCAGGAGTGAAAGCGCGTCGCAGTGATGAGTTTTTTTTTTAATTCCGTTGAATCACAAATCACGTGCGGCAGAAGAGAATTCCTTCAAACCCATCGCGATCGTTGTAGTTTTTCACGGATGTCGATATGTTAACAGGATAAATGACCCCCGTTCTATTTACGAATAATCCCAATCCGGATTAAATGAAGAAGACTTACTTTGCTGACTGAAGATTTCCCGTTCTGCATTCACGTTTTTTTCGCGTTGTCAGAGGCAATTCTCGTGCCAGGCATGATCATCCTCTATATTTACACACTCGCCTCCTCCGGACCAGAATGCGAGATTATAAGACACTTATGAACACTCTCTCTTTCTCTCTCTCTCTCGTGCGTGCTCGTTTTCTATTATAAGTTGACGGTCGCCCGATTGCATTCGATTCACCAAAAAAATGATATTATTTCGGCCGAACTTTGCACAACTGTTGCGATTTAACAGCGCTCCGGTGCAACGTGAGAAACCCGACTGCAGTCCACCCCCTGCCCGACTGGGATTTGTCTTCAGTCAGAAGATAAAAAAAAATATAATAAAATATCGCAGTAGGTGTAGCACCGAGTTGTCCGAGGCCAATCGAGTCACCGACTGAGACCTGAGACCGCCCGACTCCGGGACAGCGTTCTACGGCTACACGGAATGTTACGATTGATATATACTACGCATAGCTTCGTGTAGCTATGTACAGTGAACTCTCACACATACGCGCTGATCACAACTGTGTACACATTCCACGGAATGTTTTATGTGAATCGAGAGCTTTGCGATGGGAATAGACACTTCCGTTGATTAATTTTGAGGAGTGAATGGGGAGATTGAGGCTCTCCGCACGGGATTATGACATTTCTGGACGTCACGGATTCGCTGTGGATGCAATCTTCAGCGAGATATTGCTTTCCTGGGTCGGTACAATTTGTGATGCAGGGGAGATCCACTCTCGGTGGGTTGTCCGGAGCAGGGAACAGTTTCCCAGTTGCCGTTGGTTACTGGTCGAGGGACTCGGATGCGCAAGGCTGGAGATGGTGCGCGCGGATGTGATGAAATTTTCGTGCGGCTTCAATTTGCGGAGGAGTCGGGGTTTTCGGGTCGAGGTTCTTTCAGTAATTGTGTTATGGAAATTTGATAATATATTTTTTTGCAGATTGGGGAGAGACGTATCAGCGCCGAACAAGTCAGAATTCTCTTTTACCACTATGTAGTAGGAGTACCACTCAAGATCATGTAGGTCTAGAAATTTTGCAAATTTTTGAAAATTTCAAGGTTTCGGGATTCAACCCGAGAGCTGGTGAGGTTTTTAAAACGTTACTATGTCATTAATGACATAATTTTATAGGTATACCTCTACATTACAAATTATAAAATTTATTGCCTTGTGGATTGATTGATTGATTGATTGATTGATTGATTGAAGTTTATCAACTGCACATTCTGTTGTACAAAGTAAACATGACATCAGTCATAAAGCAGGAAACAGAGAAACACAAAAATCATACAAGTCATATAAGCATGGAATTACTATAAGTAGTTTGAGCATAATAAGACACTGGAACACAGCAAGAAACATCGGAAAACAGTGAAAATCATAAAGTAATTACATAAAGCATACAGTAAGAAGTGGAAATATTCATGAATAAAAAAGAATTCATCTCGGGGGCTCCCAATAAAGGAAAATGGAGCTGAAAAAGGAAAAGTATAAAAATGAAAAAGCTGGACGAGGAGGAAAATGGGAGAAAAATGTGAGAAATTACGGGGAGTGGTTCAGAAATCTAAGGGTAGTTACTGAGAAAGATGCGTAGGGCTACTTTGAAAGGCGGGAGGCGGGTGATGAGCCCGTACGTCTGTATGAGCATATAAACTTGAATTTATGTGGTCGGTTTTTCACCGAATTATCCACCTCAATAATCATTGGGTCGTGAAAATATTTACGATAATTGTGATTAAAGTGGTTAATTTAGTGATTTATAGATCCTCGAAACACTCCCGTAAAATCCACTGTGTTTCGCCCATCTCTCTATTATTCCACAAAAACCAGACTCGGTATTGAACACTTATATAGAGGTTGAAATTAAGTCAAAGTCATCTAGATCACTCCCAACGATACGCATCTATCTTCATCATTTAAGTATCATTCATTACATATTATCTCAAATATTCATTGGTGTTATCACTCGAATCAACATTCTCTGGAAAAATATTCTGCTAGGTGTGGGGTTCGAACCCACGCTCCCATACGGGAACCAGAACTTAAGTCTGGCGCCTTAGACCGCTCGGCCAACCTAGCTGCATTTCGTTCATCGCCTTCGATAGCATTCATTATCACCCACTGCGAAGAGCAACGCAGTTCAGTCTTTAAAATTAGAAGATCTTGTTCATCAATTACTTGTGCATGGTCACAGGTGTCAAAATCCAATTGCGTAATTTCGAAAAATCGTATTGGATGTCAGGGGATAAGTGAAATTTCCTCTTGACCCGTCGCTGGTTCTGCACTTTTCAATTACTGTAAAATCCACTGTTTTCTCGCCCATCACTCTATTATTCCACAAAAACCAGATTCGGTATCGAACACTTATATGTCTCATAGAGGTTGAAATTAAGTCAAAGTCATCTAGATCACTCCCAACGATACGCATCTATCTTCATCATTTAAGTATCATTCATTACATATTATCTCAAATATTCATTGGTGTTATCACTCGAATCAACATTCTCTGGAAAAATATTCTGCTAGGTGTGGGGTTCGAACCCACGCTCCCATACGGGAACCAGAACTTAAGTCTGGCGCCTTAGACCGCTCGGCCAACCTAGCTGCATTTCGTTCATCGCCTTCGATAGCATTCATTATCACCCACTGCGAAGAGCAACGCAGTTCAGTCTTTAAAATTAGAAGATCTTGTTCATCAATTACTTGTGCATAGTCACAGGTGTCAAAATCCAATTGCGTAATTTCGAAAAATCGTATTGGATGTCAGGGGATAAGTGAAATTTCCTCTTGACCCGTCGCTGGTTCTGCACTTTTCAATTACTGTAAAATCCACTGTTTTCTCGCCCATCACTCTATTATTCCACAAAAACCAGATTCGGTATCGAACACTTATATGTCTCATAGAGGTTGAAATTAAGTCAAAGTCATCTAGATCACTCCCAACGATACGCATCTATCTTCATCATTTAAGTATCATTCATTACATATTATCTCAAATATTCATTGGTGTTATCACTCGAATCAACATTCTCTGGAAAAATATTCTGCTAGGTGTGGGGTTCGAACCCACGCTCCCATACGGGAACCAGAACTTAAGTCTGGCGCCTTAGACCGCTCGGCCAACCTAGCTGCATTTCGTTCATCGCCTTCGATAGCATTCATTACCACCCACTGCGAAGAGCAACGCAGTTCAGTCTTTAAAATTAGAAGATCTTGTTCATCAATTACTTGTGCATGGTCACAGGTGTCAAAATCCAATTGCGTAATTTCGAAAAATCGTATTGGATGTCAGGGGATAAGTGAAATTTCCTCTTGACCCGTCGCTGGTTCTGCACTTTTCAATTACTGTAAAATCGACTGTTTTCTCGCCCATCACTCTATTATTCCACAAAAACCAGATTCGGTATCGAACACTTATATGTCTCATAGAGGTTGAAATTAAGTCAAAGTCATCTAGATCACTCCCAACGATACGCATCTATCTTCATCATTTAAGTATCATTCATTACATATTATCTCAAATATTCATTGGTGTTATCACTCGAATCAACATTCTCTGGAAAAATATTCTGCTAGGTGTGGGGTTCGAACCCACGCTCCCATACGGGAACCAGAACTTAAGTCTGGCGCCTTAGACCGCTCGGCCAACCTAGCTGCATTTCGTTCATCGCCTTCGATAGCATTCATTACCACCCACTGCGAAGAGCAACGCAGTTCAGTCTTTAAAATTAGAAGATCTTGTTCATCAATTACTTGTGCATGGTCACAGGTGTCAAAATCCAATTGCGTAATTTCGAAAAATCGTATTGGATGTCAGGGGATAAGTGAAATTTCCTCTTGACCCGTCGCTGGTTCTGCACTTTTCAATTACTGTAAAATCCACTGTTTTCTCGCCCATCACTCTATTATTCCACAAAAACCAGATTCGGTATCGAACACTTATATGTCTCATAGAGGTTGAAATTAAGTCAAAGTCATCTAGATCACTCCCAACGATACGCATCTATCTTCATCATTTAAGTATCATTCATTACATATTATCTCAAATATTCATTGGTGTTATCACTCGAATCAACATTCTCTGGAAAAATATTCTGCTAGGTGTGGGGTTCGAACCCACGCTCCCATACGGGAACCAGAACTTAAGTCTGGCGCCTTAGACCGCTCGGCCAACCTAGCTGCATTTCGTTCATCGCCTTCGATAGCATTCATTACCACCCACTGCGAAGAGCAACGCAGTTCAGTCTTTAAAATTAGAAGATCTTGTTCATCAATTACTTGTGCATGGTCACAGGTGTCAAAATCCAATTGCGTAATTTCGAAAAATCGTATTGGATGTCAGGGGATAAGTGAAATTTCCTCTTGACCCGTCGCTGGTTCTGCACTTTTCAATTACTGTAAAATCGACTGTTTTCTCGCCCATCACTCTATTATTCCACAAAAACCAGATTCGGCGAACACTTATATGTCTCATAGAGGTTGAAATTAAGTCAAAGTCATCTAGATCACTCCCAACGATACGCATATATCTTAATCATTTAAGTATCATTCATTACATATTATCTCAAATATTCATGGGTGTATCACTCAAATCAACATTCTCTGGAAAAATATTCTGCTAGGTGTGGGGTTCGAACCCACGCTCCCATACGGGAACCAGAACTTAAGTCTGGCGCCTTAGACCGCTCGGCCAACCTAGCTGCATTTCGTTCATCGCCTTCGATAGCATTCATTACCACCCACTGCGAAGAGCAACGCAGTTCAGTCTTTAAAATTAGAAGACCTTGTTCATCAATTACTTGTGCATGGTCACAGGTGTCAAAATCCAATTGCATAATTTAGAAAAATCGTATTGGATGTCAGCGGATAAGTAAAATTTCCTCTTGACCCGTCGCTGATTCTGCACTTTTCAATCATCAATCGGTTACCCACTATCCATTGATGATACATTCTCCCTCTGCTGATAATATAGTTACCCAGATTTGTTTACCGACTGACGGTACCACAGGAATGGATCCTTTCAAAAAATTTGAAATCGTTGCACTCGTGATCAATTCCAGTCCTTCCCAAACTACCCTTCATTTCCAAAAGATCACTGTCAAAATATGTAGCGAACACATCAACAGTTGCATTGTATCTCCCATCATCCTCGAAACCCAATACCTCGTGAATAATAAAGATCACTGGTAATAAGCAGATGGTAATATGCTTCATTCCCCGCGGTAATACAATAGCCCGGTGGGGTCCACACACGCGTTCATAAAATGTATTTCGAATGGAGTACAGTTGATGGCACAACTAGATCTTATCACAGAGCTGTCAGAGGGTGAGTATGTTCTTCCCTTCAAATTGCTCCTATCAAGCCGACCCCGAGCCCGGATGATTCGTCCGGAGGGGAAGGACGTACAAGTCGAATTTCCCGTTCACCTATTGATCTTCAGACGGAATTTCATTCACACACTCCAAAAATGGGTATCCACGACTGTAGAAATAACCTTCATTTTTTTCCATCATTCCCTAAATTGTTTTTGTACTACAGGGCTTATAATGGAAGCCACGAGTGGTCGCCGTCGGCTAAACGCAAATTTACATGACGCAATGAGCCAACAATCTTCAAAATCATACAAGCGCCGATTATTTTGTATCGTTCCCCCCCTTCCCCTCGTTTGTTGTTGCACTAGGTGCGCACGTGGCAGCACTGGGGGGCCTTTGCGCGCGCCCAATGCCACGTGCCAACCAATCTAAATCTAATAACACAAACAGCATCACAATGACGTGCATCATGGTGGAATATCGTTCGTTTGGTCGTGAGGTAATAGTACACCATGTGAACTAATCGTCCCGAAGTGGTACTACAGTGGCCATATCTTGTTTCGATATTCATTTTGGACCCCTCCCGCACATTTTTCAGGGTTTTTTTTTGCGGCGAGGTTGGCATGAGCTATATTTTTCGTAATTGGACAGATATTTTGGCGACTTGGGGTGTCGTGTGGGACGTGAGGCCAAATTAGCGATAGGCACATCAATCAATCATAATTACCTTTAAATTGTGAAATTGTTAATTTTTAACGTAAATCTTGAAATTTTAAATATTAAATTAACCATCAATTTGTACATTTAAATTTTGAAATATTCTATCAACCAATAATTTAGGTAGGAAGATTATCGATTATTTGGATAATCGAAAATCAAGTACCTAAATTTAGAGTTGGCTTGTTAACTAAAAAATTATGTTCCAATATTATCAAATATTTCATTCACTATCAATCGGAAAATTTAGTTAGTGAATTTTATATTTTAAATTTGTTAAATATAGTCAAACTTTGAACATTATAAGGAGATAATGCCTTTTTGATATTGTCGAAATCTAATATTATTGCCGGGCCCTGAGCCAAATATTAGTGATAATCGTTAATATTGTTATTCTTTGTTAATGATGGTGATTACTGATTAAAAATGTTATGGATATTTCAATCTTGAGGGATTTTTTTACTTATCGCCACGGCTATCTGGTAGGTAACCAGGGCTTGGGCTGTTCACATGACATGTGACGGGATATTCTGACATCTTAAAATGTAATACTATTGATTGTATTGAGACTACGGAGTTACTGCTTCATTGATTAGTCTATTTTTTATTTTAATTGATTCTACAAAATAGTCCGTTTGATTTTCTTTTAACCCTAGACTGGTTACCATGCAAGGGAATTGCCGCAACACGTCGTTTTATTCACCTTGCCATCGACTGGTTGACCGGAAAAATTTGAGAAAAATTCAATCCGTCAATTGAAGTATCTGGAAAATTCTAGTATTTTTTTTTCAATATTGTATCCTTAATTCTGGGAGAAAAAAAATTATTTCCAACAGGTGAACAATTTTTTCCCGTGTTAAATGAAATTGCCTGTTGTGCGACGTTGCTAGGAACTCGCTAAACGCGCCCGGGAAGTGTAGAGTGGATTCGGCAACGCTGGAGCCTGAATAACACGGCGGCACTCTCCCGCGAAGGTGACTAAAGTCGCATTTTTCCGTCAGGTGACCAGACTAGGGTTAAACTAGTGTATTACTGTGCACATCGCCATTATTCGCAACGGTACTTTAACATGAAGGAAATGTATACTAGCTTTGCTGATCTTTCTCAATAAAAAATATGATAATAATAATTTATAGTCAGTTCGATATCGAAGATTTGGATGAATTCAGTTTCTGTTGAAAAGTAGTTTGACTGTTTTGGAAATCTTCAATGAGATGGAGAGTTGTGAAAATGCTTGATTTGCGTTTTTGGGTTAGCAATATATCGTCGTGCATTTATGAATCGAAGTTGTGACTTGAAACCATTTTCGTTACTTCGCAAAGCTGCGCTTCACGTCATGATAAAATATACTTTGTCATTAAGTTGGACAGATTTTTTTTGCGAATATGAATGTAGAACTTCCTATTTGCAAAAAAAAATTTCGCCCTAGTGACGAAATAGTATATTTCGCAATACCTGCCATAAAAGTTCTCTTTTCGGGACGGTTTGGCGAGTGTAAAATGTTTGATTTACGCACGACGTGCGTAAACTTCAGAGGTTATGCGTAAAGTAAATTCACGTGCCTAAAGCTTCTTTTTACGTACCCGAAATTTACTTTTTATACACGACTTTGAACATTACGCACTCTGTGCAAAAAATCAAACATTTTACTCCCAGCTCTGCAGGTATTTAAAAAAAATAGGATGCGTTGCACCTGCGTGGGGAAAAGAGAAACTTCACGGACTAGTAATACAATATACGGTTTAAATACAAGTGCGTAATAGTATATTTTGTTAGTAGTGGGAGAAGTTATACTTTTTCGCACGCACGTGTAACACAATTTATTGTGATATCTGCCGAGCTCAATATACGGACCGCTAGTGGGGGTGAAGTGGTTTTTGCGCACGAGTGCGTAAACGTCAAGACTTTATGCACGTCGTGCGGAAAGCAACTGCTTTACGCATACTAAATCGTTTCGAAAAGTGCACTTTTCAGGCAGGTATCACCAAAAAGTGTTTTTTGACCCGTGGGGGATGTGTAGGTGCTACCTGGCGACCCTCCCAAGGGTCAAAGAACACTATTCTCACGAGTGTCGAACCCTATTTTTCATTGCAATGTGTGAAAAGTGGGATTTTGCGCACGCAAAACGTGCGTAAAATTTCCCTTTACGCACAAGTGATGAAAAGTATTTTTCATCACGCTGTGACGAAAAGTGAACTTTTCGGCACGCTCCGAGTGTCTAAAAGTCCAATTTCCGCCACATTGTGATGAAAAATGTTGTTCGATACTCGTGAGAAAAGTGTTTTTTGGCTCCTAGGATTATATCACTCGCATTCGGCTAGTGCTATAAACCTCCCACTCACCAAAAAACACTTTTTTGCACTCGTTACGAAATATACTATTTCATCACGCTGTGCGAAAAAGTAACTTTTTGGGCACGCTTCGTGTGCCTAAAACGTCCCTTTTCCACACATTGTGTTGAAAAATATCGTTCGATTCTCGTGGGAAAAGTGTTTTTTGGCTCCTAGGATTATATCACTCGCATTCGGCTAGTGCTATAAACCTCCCACTCACCAAAAAACACTTTTTTGCACTCGTTACGAAATATACTATTTCATCACGCTGTGCGAAAAAGCAACTTTTTAGGGACCCTTTGCGTGCCTAAAACGTCCCTTTTCCACACATTGTGATGAAAAATATCGTTCGGTACTCGTGAGAAAAGTCTTTTTTGGTTCCTAGGATTATATCACTCGCCTTGGGCTAGTACTATAAACCTCCCACAAGCTAAAAAACTGTTTTCCGCACTCGTAACGAAATATACTATTTCATCACGCTGTGCGAAAAAGCAACTTTTTAGGCACGCTTTGCGTGCCTAAAACGTCCCTTTTCCACGCATTGTGATGAAAAATATTGTTCGATACTCGTGAGAAAAGTGTTTTTTGGCTCCTAGGATTATATCACTCGCCTCGGCTAGCGCTATAAACCTCCCACGAGCTAAAAAACCCTTTTTTGCACTCATTACGAAATATACTATTTCATCACGCTGTGCGAAAAAGCAACTTTTTAGGGACCCTTTGCGTGCCTAAAACGTCCCTTTTCCACACATTGTGATGAAAAATATTGTTCGATACTCGTGAGAAAAGTGTTTTTTGGCTCCTAGGATTATATCACTCGCCTCGGCTAGCGCTATAAACCTCCCACGAGCTAAAAAACCCTTTTTTGCACTCATTACGAAATATACTATTTCATCACGCTGTGCGAAAAAGCAACTTTTTAGGGACCCTTTGCGTGCCTAAAACGTCCCTTTTCCACACATTGTGATGAAAAATATCGTTCGATACTCGTGAGAAAAGTGTTTTTTGGCTCCTAGGATTATATCACTCGCCTTCGGCTAGCGCTATAAACCTCCCACGAGCTAAAAAACTCTTTTCCGCACTCGTAACGAAATATACCATTCTCACTGAATACTAAAATTATTTTAAATTCTCTGAAGCCGTACATTATCAAGGGAAATCGTCAATAACAACAACTTTTTGATTCTCAAAAATTGTAAGTTTAATTTATATCAATATACATCGACGAGTGTGTATTGTAATTCATACAAGAACAAGAAAAATTCATGTGAAATTAACAAAACGTGATGAATTCGAATTTGACGGGATACAGTTAATACAATGAAATTACAATGATTTTTCTTCCTATTGTGAAAATTCACTCGCCATCAACGATATGCAAAAACGAACAATTAGCCATGAATTTTCAATGATAATCGTTTTTACTGAGATAACGTCATCGACTGTTGTGTCTGGTGCTTCAAGAGTCATTAATTCTGCATCGTATACTTTCGTGATTCGGTGAAGAAATTCGATTCGGACCGGGTTTATTAAACAATTTCAACTATATTTCCTCTCATAAACCGATACTTCGGATTCATCCCTTGAACTTCCAATTACGATCTGATATTTATTCACTTCGATCATACACAAGTCAATGGTAATGTCGTTCACTGGAAGTTCAAGGGCGGAACTGATACAGCAATGTTCGGACGGCCTACGGCCATTCTAAGTTTATTTACAATTTTCTTTTAATCATCTCCTCTGTTTAATAACCGTTAATCTACAATCGCTCTAAACGAATATTTCCTTCCTTCCGCTGGATCCCTAGACATCAGGAATACTTTTATCAATAATAGTATTTATTAATTTTTTTTGTACATTGCAACAATATTTACAAATAATATACAAATTACACTGGTAATTCAAGTTAATGACAGTATCCGATAATTAGAGAGAGGGATGGGTAGAAAATCATTCGCATTTCTCTCTTCCCACCTGAAAAACTATGGAGTTGTCTTATTGATATGCGATATGTCTGTCTAGTGGATCTGCCATTCTCTTTTTTGTCTTTAATACTCCATGAAAACTCCCGTATACCCTCTCCCCCCCTTGAACCTTGCGATCCAGAAAGGGGGGATATGGCATATAAAATATTGAAGTTTCGCCTTCGGTCCCTTCAGCGGGCACTCTAGTTCGTCCAAGTAGACTTTTGGAGAAACAGTATACAGACGTACACCGTAACGCTTTTAAGAAAATGTCTGGTATTTTCATAAAGCCGAAGCGAGTGGACGCCGGGGAATAGTCGCATAAATTGATCGGACGTCACAAAGACGAAGGTCCACGAGACAAAACCAAAAAAAAACACCTGAATTCTACGTCCACTTTCCCTGTTACATGTTCCCATTTTTCGATATGTTTTGAAATTCTTCAATTCAATGATTTTATACACATGAAGTATCATCAATTTCCACTAAAAATCACTCGAGTCTTATGTATAGCGCACACATGTGTCCGTCATTCGTTGGTCTTCTCGAGAGGCAAGACAACGAAGGATAAAAACAGTAGAAATAAAAAATAGTCCACAGCCGATTGATCGGTACTTTCTCACGGTTTATGTCATTGGAGATGACGTTTGAGTAGCGCTCGATGATTTTCCATCAAAACTGGTTGACAACTGGGTGGTCATTTTACGATGTTAACTGCAGCAATTGCATTGACAAGTAACGATTAATGTTGTGAATTCTTTCAGTGGCTCCCATCAGTCTCGGGGCTCGATGACTCCTCGTACTATTTGATATTAGCTGCCAGTAGTGGACTCGATACACCAGTGTAACCCTGACTGCACGTTGGCAACATAAATGGATTCACGTTGAATGTTGAACCAACTACGTCTCCTAGCCCTGTAACATGGCAACTGTAACGATTATACGTTAGTCGGTTGGGGATTTTATCCATACGTGGAAATTTGTCTTTCGCCGAGTTAATCGAGCCAACTTTAACGATATATATAGTACAAACTCGACATTACACCGGTAATAGGATATTCCACATGTGGTATTACCAGCTGAGAGTAAAACTGCCATAACTGGCACCGTTTGATCAACCAAACCAATCGTCAATCGTTGAGGGATACAGACACGTGCCGGCGTAACTACTAACTGCCCCGACGACAGGCCACTGTACGATCAAGATTTATCGACACAACCGACGGATACCACCATCGACTGTTTCCACCGATTCAACTAAAACCTTAACGAGCACTAGTGCGTATATATCAAAGTATCGGGGACATTTCATGATCTTTGGTGGTGTTTTTTTTTCGCTTCTTTTTTTTTTAATGTGGCGTTTTTGGACTGTGGACATCGTTATCGAGAATTTCGGCATCTGGATCGCTTCAAATTAACTCTCAATTGCTTGCTCGATACTGTTCACACGTATCGCTGGTTTTTGTGGTGGACTTTNTAAAATATTGGAGGTGGGTAATTAGCGGTTTTGGAGATTGGGAATGAATGCTGAGATGAATATTTGGACTGTTGAAAATATTTGGCTGAATTTTCCGGAAAAAAATCTTGAATTCGATTTAAGGGGAAAAAGTCAAGGGAATTTCAAGCAAAGTTTCATTTTTTTAGCGGCAAGTAGACGAAAATTCCATAATTGACATGAATTCTCAAGTGAAAATGAATATTCATTACCAAATTCCCTTGAATTTTCATGGAATCGATTTAAAATGCTTGGAATTTGACGAATTTTCCTGATATTTCATCAATTTTCCCAGAGTAATTAAACTGAAATTCACGGTTTCCACGGATTTTTCCATGAAATTAAGAATTTTCAATTATGAAATTCATTAAAATTTCACTGAAAATATTACTTGTTCGAAATTTTGAAGACTTACCGGAAATTTCAGTGGAAAATGTTGAAAAATGTAATTATGACATTGTTTATGAAGAAAATCACAGTTCCATATTGTATTGCTACATCATCTATTTTTTCAGACCTATATTTTTGGTCTATAAAATTTTTTCCAAAGAATGATTTTGCCTCAACATTTTTTTCGTAACATGTAAATTTTTCGAATGAAGAATTTGAGAAAAAACGGTCATCAAGTTTTTCTTTTTATTTTCGTTCTCGAGAAAAAATTGTATTTTTCGTATTGACATCGATGTGAAGAAACGCAGTCCTATTCTAAAAAGAACATACACTTCAAGTCGATAACTATCGATATCTCGCAAGTCTGTCACGCTTATTCCTCATTGGTCTCAGTCGTCTGAGGCGGCAAATTTAATTCATGATTAATTTAACTTGTAGATTTTCAATGACGATTGTTATTCGGTCTCGTATTAGAAAAAGGGTATAATTCAAGACAAAAATTTGCATGCAACAGCATTCCGTAAATGATCCAAATAAAAATCAATCATACGTACATCGTGGTAGTGTGGATTGTGCTAGTTTGTTGTCATAATATCGTGGAATAGTGTGAGGAACGATGTTTAGGCGATAATTATTTACTGGGCAGCTGTGGCCAGGTGATGCTGTGTGGACCAGTGCGATGGGACTGAGGTGTTCGTTGGCCGGACAACGGGGGCGAATGCACTCCCGTCACCGGATGAATAGAAAATGCCATACTGTTCGTGCGCTAAAATTAAAATTTGCAAATAAAAATCGTATAAGTACATGCTGTCAACAGTGATAATTCAGAATCAAGAACGAAGCGGTAAAACGGTTCAAGTCTTAGCTGAGTTTTCGAGAAGTATCTCCAAATCTAAAAGAGATATCGACATTTTCGTGAAGAATTTGTTAGAGATTGAGACTAATGATGTGTTATGGAAAGGCACTGGTGATGTATTTTATTAGTGGCGTAAGCCACGCGTCTTAACCCCCCACGTACGGCGCCCATATAACGCGGCTTGTCCCAGTGGCCGGGAGACTTTCGGCGCGTTAACTCCGTTATTCAATGAACGATAACTCAAAAACAATCGAACGAAAAAAATTGAAATAAAATGTGTTGGCTGTATTGAACTTTGAAATAAACTCCTAAAGAATTTACTAATTTTTGACACCAATTTCAATGTTTGCCGACAATTGGTTGCCGAGATCTTCGAGCATGCTAAAATTATTTATAACAAACAAATTATTCAACAAATCGAAATTCAACTTCTGCCATTCGATAGAAGGATCATTGAAGTATTTTCAGTACAAATTTCAAAATTTTTGGGAGAAATTTTGTCGATAAACGCAATGATTTAATGTGATTGAATCGGTTGGATGTAAATTTTTCATCTACAACTTTTGTTCAAGAAAAAAAATTATTAATGTATTGAAAAAAAATAAATAAAATAGTTTACTACAGAGACAATTCCATTGACTTTCCAAATATCTTTTCCAAATGTCAATATGTCTCTTAGAATCCGAGAAAATAATTTTTTACTGTTGACGGAAAGGGTCGACGTCGAAAGGATCGATGCATTGACCCCGGCCGACAGAACAAGTTTATCGACGGTTGAATGTCTCAAATTTAAAGTCCATAATTGTCTTTACACTGCACTGGATAATCTCTTGACATTGAACTTGATAATAGACTCAAAATGATTGATAGTTGACTCGAAATTGATTGATAGTCTAAACGAAATAATAGACTCAATATAACACGGTGATGTCCTCGCTTGAGCGGTTACGTTGCTACTGAATTCATATTTGGCGATTTGCTCCGTGATTTGACCCCGAACCCGAACGGTCCCGAAGTCACTCGAGATTTTCCATTGAGACCGGTAACTTTTAAGGTCATGACAAAAATTTGCCATCTCCCTTACATTCCGGGAAATTCATTGAAAACTGGCTNTCAAAAACAATCGAACGAAAAAAATTGAAATAAAATGTGTTGGCTGTATTGAACTTTGAAATAAACTCCTAAAGAATTTACTAATTTTTGACACCAATTTCAATGTTTGCCGACAATTGGTTGCCGAGATCTTCGAGCATGCTAAAATTATTTATAACAAACAAATTATTCAACAAATCGAAATTCAACTTCTGCCATTCGATAGAAGGATCATTGAAGTATTTTCAGTACAAATTTCAAAATTTTTGGGAGAAATTTTGTCGATAAACGCAATGATTTAATGTGATTGAATCGGTTGGATGTAAATTTTTCATCTACAACTTTTGTTCAAGAAAAAAAATTATTAATGTATTGAAAAAAAATAAATAAAATAGTTTACTACAGAGACAATTCCATTGACTTTCCAAATATCTTTTCCAAATGTCAATATGTCTCTTAGAATCCGAGAAAATAATTTTTTACTGTTGACGGAAAGGGTCGACGTCGAAAGGATCGATGCATTGACCCCGGCCGACAGAACAAGTTTATCGACGGTTGAATGTCTCAAATTTAAAGTCCATAATTGTCTTTACACTGCACTGGATAATCTCTTGACATTGAACTTGATAATAGACTCAAAATGATTGATAGTTGACTCGAAATTGATTGATAGTCTAAACGAAATAATAGACTCAATATAACACGGTGATGTCCTCGCTTGAGCGGTTACGTTGCTACTGAATTCATATTTGGCGATTTGCTCCGTGATTTGACCCCGAACCCGAACGGTCCCGAAGTCACTCGAGATTTTCCATTGAGACCGGTAACTTTTAAGGTCATGACAAAAATTTGCCATCTCCCTTACATTCCGGGAAATTCATTGAAAACTGGCTAATACCCTAGTGGAAAAACCTAAGGCAGAGGCGTAACATGCCTGATCAGAATTTCGAATCGGACTTGATCAGCTTCTGATCGAGACCTGAACAGAATTTCCACTCGGGTATGAATCAATTTGAGAGTGAAATTCGTAAGTGTCCTGGTAGCTCAGATGGTAAGAGCACCCGACGCGACATTGGGAGGTTCCGGGTTCGATTCCCGGCTAGGAAGTTACTAATTTTTTCTCTCAAAAAATTAAATTTAATTAATGCCTAATGATGGAAGGTGGAGAAACCCTAGTGGAAAAACCTAAGGCAGAGGCGTAACATGACTTGATCAGTTTCTGATCGAGACCTGAACAGAATTTCCACTCGGGTAGTCAAGATCGACTTGAACCGTTTTATCGCTTCGCTGCAGACATGTCCGGAAAGTAGTTCAAAGCAGCGTCGAAAGCTCAATAACAAGGACATTGATGATGTATGAAAAAAAGTGACACGGTGATGACACTTACGTGATGTATAGAGGGTTGGACTCCCTGTGTATGGATTGGCGACTGAGTAACTGCCGCTCGTACTGTGACTGTGCGGCGTACTTGCTGAACTACCGCAGTAACCACCACTAACAACACCACGTGGACTAGCGCTACTGCTCTGTCTGTATGTGTCGGCACTGCCGCCCACACTGCTACCACCACCGCCACCGCCACCCGCACTCACTGAACCACCGTCTAGAAATAGAAACCTGTCCGGTCAGAGGTGAGAAACCTGGTGAGTATCCCATCGTCCAATAATGTTTGCCTCTCATCAATAATCATGCAGTTTGTCATGCTACGGTACAAGATTGGGAACAAATTATGGTAACGATTGCTGGAGATTACTGATTTCATGCAATTGCATAGGATTTTTTTAAGCATTTTTACGCTTTCAAACGGCTAGGTTGACGGCGCGCTCTTGCGCGCCTCTACGGCGTGACAATGGACGGGTGAGTTAATGATTGCCGGAAATTGCTGATTTTATGCAGTTGCATAGAAATTTTTTTTAGCAATTTTACGATTTCGAATAGCTAGTTTGACGCCGCGGTCTTGCGCGCCTTAACGGCGTGAGAATAGACGAGTGAGTTAATGATTGCTGGACATCGCTGATTTCATGCAACTGTATAGGATTTTTTAAAGCATTTTTACGCTTCCAAATAACGAGACCTACGGCGCGCTCTTGCGCACCTTTACGGCGTGAAAATAGACAAGTGAGTTAATGGTTGCTATAAATTGTTGACTTCATGTAATTGCATAGGATTTTTTTAGTAGTTTTACGATTTCAAATGGCTGCGCTGACAGCGCGCTTATACGGTGTGAGAATAGACGAGTGAGTTAATGATTGCTGTAAATTGCTGATTTTATGCAACGGTGTAGGAATTTTTTAGCAGTTTTACGATTTCAAATGGCTAGTCTGACGGCGCGGTCTTGCGCGCCTTTACGGCGTGCGAATACACGAGTGAGTTGAAGATTGCTGAAAACTGCTGATTTTATGCAACCGCATAAAAATATTGTTTAGTAATTTTATGATTTTGAACGACTAGTCTGACGACGCGCTCTTGCGCGCCTTTAGAGCGTGAGAATAGACGAGTGACTTAATGATGAGTGGAAATTGCTGATTTCATATAATTGCATAGGATTTTTTTAGCAGTTTTACGCTTTCAAATGGCTAGGCTAACGGCGCACTTTGGCGCGCCTTTACGGCGTGTAAATAGACGAGATGATGGACTTGGTTGGGAGTGTGACAGATTTTTGAGGTAGTTATGATCTATTCGATCTTCAATTTGATATTTGTGTGACACAAATGTGTGGGTTTTTTAAATGAGGATGTTAAACTTTGCATTTTACCCATCTTTCTTTCTTTCTCTTTTTTTTTTACTGGAAAAAGATTCCTCAACAAAATCCCTTCGAAGCCATGACCGAAATACATAAGATTGCAAATTTTTTTTACAAAAGCCACACTGGACATATTGTAAACATCATTAAAAAACTCTAAGACACTATATAAAGTAGCATTAAAGAATAGCAAAGCCTGAACCTCTTCACGGAGGAATACCTCACCTATCTAAGAAATAGTGGAAGCGATTGAGCAAAATTATCAGACGGGTCAAGGGTCAGACAAAAGGGACCCTTAAGGTCATTTTGCTCATCTTTTCTATTTAACCCCTAAGACTGCTTCACCTTTCTGATTCCACATAATTTGACTAATTTCCAGTGATTGTATGCGATTTCACCCAGAGTCGCCTGAAATTCTTATTTAAAAGGCACATATCCGTCATGACATCATTTCTCGAAAGTTGTATTATACAAAAATCGATCTGAATATCACAAATGTCTCAAATAATCGTAAATATTGCCTATCATCTCATTTGTCTATTCTCACGTCCTAAAGGTGCGCGAAAGCGCGCCGTCAGACTAGCTCGTTGACTTCTTTCACTTCGCGATTTCATTTCATGCGTTCACAATTGAATCTTCAATTCACTGATTGAAAGAAAAGCATATTTATGAAAGCGATTGCTGATGATTGAATTGGGATGAAGAAAAATGTCCACAAGACAAAGAAAATTCAACGAAATATTCATACCGTCTGTCCACTTGGCTGCGCTGCCATTCTCCTGGACCGTGACAGCCAGCTGACCGGTGTAAGAATTAAACGCCGTGCTGGATGTCGATGTCGGTGGTGCTGTTGGATGACTCGATGAGCCAGGACTTCTAGGTGCACCCGATATCGCTGTGTTACCAGCCCTCGGCATACTGTACAACGCTTCCGCCAGATCGGCTGCTCTCTTTAGGATTATCTCCTTGGGTAGCTTCTCCGGATCGCCCGGATGCCGTGGGATCAGCTTCTGTAACCTCGAGAAGCCCCACTCGATCGTCGGCTCGTTCATAGCTGAATCATCAAAAGTCAATCATTTATTCGGGGCTGATCTTTCGAGATTAGTCTGGGATTCGTGAATTATTGAGCACTTACAGACATAGACGAATCTTCCCGGTGAACCTTTGCAAAATTGTTTGGTCTTGTAGGACAACGTTACTTCAACGACACCTGGTATTTGTCGTGGGGGTGTTTGAACTCTTATTGCATGGTCTGTTATTAGTTCACTCCAGACAAGCATTGTACCGAAGACAACTTGGAGGCCATCGAAAAAGTGTTCACCGATTATTATCACAGTGGAGCCACCCGTCGTCCAACCTTCACTCGGCGATATCGCTTTTATACAGGGGGTTTGTAAAGGTAATGCTGGATACAAACCTGGAAGATAAAGGCCACATCAGTTAATGAAGATTTATGTCGCAAGAGCTTTTGGAATTCTTGTTTCGGGGGTGAAGATGCTAGAAAATTAAGCGGAATGTCATGATTTTATCGGATATTCTGTCTCCATTCAATTATCATGTGAGGAACCAGAGTTATTTTTTCATTTTTTTAAACGGATTTTTAAATTTTTTTTGTTTACATTGGCGCGCTCAGAGATGAAGTGAAAATTCTTTGTACAGGAGGTGCGGTAGTGTCTTGCCGCCAGATACAATCAGTGAATGATCTCAGATTATATCCACCTAGCAAAATTTTCAGTACCAAAGATAGGTACTTATTAAATTTGGTTCCAGAAAATTGTGCTCGAAGAATAATGTAAATTTTCTGTTTATTCGGTCATGTAGCAGATATAGATTTTACTATATTGGCGTGAGCAGAGGTAAAACAGTGGATAATCGTGGAAATAGGACGTGAAAAAAGTTATGAAATATCGCTATCAATATCAATATCAGATGATTTGTCTAAGATTCTATCTTCATTCAATCATCATACGGCTACGAACCACCAGAATTTTCTATGGAGTTTTTTTTTTCAATTTCCAGTTCTTTCTTTGTACAGGAGGTGCGGTAGTGTCTTGCCGCCAGATACAATCAGTGAATGATCACAGATTATATCCAGCGCCACCTAGCGCAATTTGCACTACCAAAGGTAAGTACTTATTAAATTTGGTTCCAGAAAATTGTGCTTGAAGAATAATGTGAATTTTCTGTTTATTCGGTCATGTGGCAGATATATATTTTACCATGTTGGCGTGAGTAGAGGTAAAACAGTGGATAATCGTGGAAAAAGGATATGAAATATCACTATCAATATCAGTATCAGATGATTCATCTAATATTCTATCTTCATTCAATCATCGTACGGCTACGAACCACCAGAATTTTCTGTGGAGTTTTTTTTTTCAATTTCCAGTTCTTTCTTTGTACAGGAGGTGCGGTAGTGTCTTGCCGCCAGATACAATCAGTGAATGATCACAGATTATATCCAGCGCCACCTAGCGCAATTTTCACTACCAAAGGTAAGTACTTATTAAATTTGGTTCCAGAAAATTGTGCTTGAAGAATAATGTGAATTTTCTGTTTATTCGGTCATGTGGCAGATATATATTTTACCATGTTGGCGTGAGTAGAGGTAAAACAGTGGATAACCGTGGAAGCAGGATATGAAATATCACCATCAATATCAATATCAGATGATTCATCTAATATTCTATCTTCATTCAATCATCGTACGGCTACGAACCACCAGAATTTTCTGTGGAGTTTTTTTTTTCAATTTCCAGTTCTTTCTTTGTACAGGAGGTGCGGTAGTGTCTTGCCGCCAGATACAATCAGTGAATGATCACAGATTATATCCAGCGCCACCTAGCGCAATTTTCACTACCAAAGGTAAGTACTTATTAAATTTGGTTCCAGAAAATTGTGCTTGAAGAATAATGTGAATTTTCTGTTTATTCGGTCATGTGGCAGATATATATTTTACCATGTTGGCGTGTTCAGAGGTAAAATCGTGGAAAATCGTGGAAATAGCGGGTGAAAGAGGATAAAAGAACGAGGACGGAGAGTTCACTGCATCGGGGATAGAGTCGGAAAGCAGGCGAAAAGAGGGGAGGGGGGGGAGGTAGAGGAGGAAAGGGGCTTTATAACAAGAAGGAAGGAGGAAAAGCTGAGGATGGTGAGGAAGAGGGAAGAGAGCGGCGATCGGGCCAGGCAGTGTCTCTGGGCTCGGAATTTATAACCCAATGATATCATTTTGTACCCCGGCGCAAACCCATCCTCCCAACTACCACTCGAATACCCTCGTACCCGAACCCACCCAGCAGTCGTTGGAGGGTAGGAGGGCCACGAGCAGAGTGGCTGACATCATGGTATATTGCCTTCAGTGACGCTCAAACACTTTCCTCCCCTTGTGCTCTCTCTTGGATGTATAAACCACGGGAAATAAATCACAGTCGCTTAACGAAACTACGAGTGTGGTCGTTTGTCTTTTAACCCACGTGCGGCAAAATGTAAATTGTTGGTTTCATTCTTCTTGTCTCATTGTTCACGATGATTTTTAGGTGTAATTGAATAGATTTAATTATATTATATAGATTTTTAAATGGAGAAATTATTGAAATATTATAGATTCTTTGAACTCAAACGTGAAAAATTTTTCAATTTAATTATTTCGTTTATTTTATAAACATATTGAAAAATCGACTAGGGAGGTAATGACGTCACACCTCCCTATATTTCGGAGGTGACTCACTACGAGGCGCTGGGTGCGCTACAGTGATGAGAGTCAAGTGAGGTTAAAAAAATTTCTTATTTATACAAAATCAAATAAATTGATAATAATAATGGTTAGTAATTATTTGAATAATTTTTTAAATAAAAAAAAGATTTCGGAAAAATTATATTAAATTTAGACATAATTTTACATGAACTGTAGAATTAAATAATGAAAAAAATTCCGTTAAATATTCTTATTATTTAATTAGGAAGAAAAACTTTTCTGTCGGACAGAAATTTAATTATTAAACTTTTATAGATTTTTTTTTTTTCAATAATTTTTTTTATACAAAAAAGAAGACTTGGCAATTTTTATCTTAAAATTAGACATAATTTGGATTAATTATCGAATGAGATAATGAAAAAAATTCCATGAACTGTCTGGCAGCGAAATTTAATTGTGGATATAAAAAAGACCGGTTTCGTCTCAGTTGTTGACGGATCAGGAAGAATTGCATGAATGCAGATGATCAGCGGTGGAAATACATCGTTTAATGAGTTTCCCTACGTTTCGGTTAACCCAGTAATTTGGCAACTCCGCCGGGAGCATTGGTATTTATTGTGTTGTATACCACTTGGGGAAGAAAGTCGCTAAATACAGTATACAGTACACGTTGGTGGACCACTCCAACCGTAGAGAATTACCGGTATGAGGACGCGGTGGACGACGAATTTCTGTTTCCCTTGGAATGAGTGGAGGGAGTGAGGGGAGAACTGGAAAAAAGAGGAGACAGGTCCCAGTTTGTGCGCACGGAAGGGAATGCCGGGAGTACTGCTGTGGAATAAATAAAATCTTCGGTGGTAACGTCACAACTGAATCTACATTTTTCTGCTACGAGACCGAACGCGCGCTACAGCGCGCTGTAAGTGTAACAATCATAGTTGAAAATCTCAAAATTAAATTAATTATGAATTGAATTTGCCGCCTCAGATGATTGCAACCAATGAGGAATAAGCGTGACAGACTTGCGAGATATCGATAGTTATCGATTTTGAGTGTATGTTCTTTTTGGAATAGGATGTGTTTTTTTTAGAATAGGATTCGTGGGGGAAAGGCCATGGGTGAGCGGCGAGCTCGCCGGAGGGATACTGGGAGACATGCCCGCGAGGCAAACGACGTTCCGCGTCGTAAAGAAAAACACTCAAAATTACGGAAACATAAGAGTGCGATTATTATGTGATGACTAAACGATAATTTTTTTTTAATTTAAAATATCAAAAATGAATCATTTATTTAGTCTGTAAAAAAACTGAAGTTTCTATATTTTTTTTAGAATGAATGAGAATTTTTTCCTTTTTTTTCTAGAAAAAATCAATTTTTTTACGCAGATTTTTTTGGATTTTCTGAAAAACCAGAGAATTTCTACTTTTTTTCGTTTAAATAATGAGAAATCTATTATCTTTCCTCTCGAGTTTTCCCCGAGAACAGAATTTCCTCGAATATTTTCTAGAAATATATAAAAAAAAGTTTTCTTGAATTTTCTAGATATGAAACTAAAGACCTATCAATTTTGGAAAAATTGAAGAAAATCAAATTCATGAGCTTGATGACCCTCATGACCCTTAGGTTTGCAATGTCTTCTCAATTTCCCCAAAAATGAAAAAAAAAATCATGTATAAAAAATTGAATGATCAAAAAAATCATGAATTAAATACAAAATAAGTGCTTCAAGATTAAAAAGGATTCTTCTCCACTTCCTGATACCTTGACGACTGTATAATCCTATTTATACATGAAGCGTCGACTTTGCTAATTTAAGTCATGAAAAATGTATAATTGTTTTCCGTATTTTGTTCAAAAACAGAATTTCCTTGATTTTTTTTCTCGAAAAACTGCCAATTTTTTCAATTAAAAAAAAAACATTTTTTTTATCATTTTCTAGAAATGAAACCTAAACCGCGTCCACCTCAAAAAATAAAAAAAATCGACTTTATGCGATTGGCGACTTTCAGGACCCTGACATTCACCGGGTCCTCCCAATTTCCCTAAAAACCCCACAAAAATGTGCAAAAAAAACAAATGAAAAAAAATCACAAATTAACCACAAATAACTGTTGCTAGATTCTCCATTCCTCTTCACTCCCTGACATCTTGACGACTTTGAGTTACTGTATCGCAGGTATGACTGTCTCATTGGTATGCCCGTTTTGGCGTTTCGAGGGCTTCCCAAGAAAGCGTGATGGCGGGATACACCGTACACTCCGCCCTTGGTTTTCCCCAACTACATGCCGCCCNTCTTGCCAGAAAAGAAAAGCGGGAGAAGAGGGGGGGGGGCGATTCCGCGGGCTGTGTCTTTGCGCTAGTCGGGGCCCTGGCGAAACCAGACAAAAGGGCGAGCCAAAAAGGGAAAAGAAAGAATACTATAAGAGGATGGAGGTACGGCAAAAAGAGGGAAAACTCGAGTGCTGTTGGAGAGTTGTGGGGCGGAGGGGAAAGGGGGGGGGGTGAGGAAGCCTCGGGAACCTCGCGAATGGAGAATGGTTGGGATCCTTCGGTCTATCCCCGCGTCCCCGCCGCCCCATTGATTTACATCTTGTCTTGCATGAGGGAGAGAAGGAGAGAGGGACGGAAAATGGTATGCGGTGTGTGTGGGTGGAAAGGGGGACGGGGAGGGGGGGGGGAGTTTTGAGAGGAGCGATATCAGCCGTTTGTATGCGCGGCCGACGCCAAACTTTGCTGAATTGCCCTATGACTTCTTATATCCCATTCTCTCTCTGTCTTTCACTTTCGTATTCGGTTTTCTTGAGGGGGGGAGAGGGAGGATGGGAGGGGGTGGGTGAGGATCGTTGAGTCTTTTTCGAATTGTGTTTTCTCTTTACTTCAATGCTCTACTGACTTGGGAATGAAATGTGGTGGATGGGTGAGGTTGATTTGTTGAGGAGATTCAACGGGAGAATCAAGTTTTTGGGGTAGTTAGGAGGGAGGGGGGGGGTGAGATAGTAGTTTATGGTGTAGGGAGTGCGAAGAAATCGCGGATGTTGTTGAGATGAGTAGAATTCTGTAGCGAAGGGGTAAAACGGTCCAACTCGATTTTGACAATGGGCCAGTTTTCAGTGAATATCGTGGGATCTAAGGGAGATGACAAATTTTTCGTCTAGGCCTTTTTTGTAGAGAAAATTAAGAGCTGCAAAAAAGGCTATGATGAAAATTACGGTATCTCCCTTGGATTCGGAGATATCCCTCGAAAACTGAAATAACCAGAAACTTAATTTTTTGTTCACAAGTAAATTGATTCAACACGGTAAAAGATCTCTTCAGGGGAACATAATTTGTCAGCAGAACTAATTTCTTTTCTCAGTGTAAGTCGCTACTGAGTTGCGAATGGGGTTTGGAATCTCTGAAATCATTCAAAATCGTGAAATCGCGAAAGAAGTGAATTGAGTGAACTCGAATTCGGGTAATTGGCAGATCCGCTTGAACTTGTCTATCATCACTAATTATAATCACCTCGGTAATGCATCATTCCATCCGCAGTGCAGTATATCAATTCTGCGAACACAATGAGATTAATTGGAATGATAAAGAAGTTTGAGCGGATCTCGTTCTCAAAGTTTTTTGTTGAGATTCGAATGGGGATTTTACGAGTACTTACTGTTGTATTCACCGTGATCACTGGGGTCCAGCCGCTTTGCCCTTCGTCCATGTTTGCTGTTGTTGTGGACAAACATGTTGTCGGAGATGGCCAGTAGCGGTCCTTCGACGCCGACTTGCGTCGATATCACGACCTGTTGAATGTTCAAAAATATTTAGCATTCCGCAATGTGGAGTGATGAAGTGGTGATGGGTTTATTTGACCTTGATGAGGGTACATCCATTGCGCAAGGTCAAATTTAATGAAACAAAAAAAACACTCCCGCTTTTACAACAACTATTAATAATTTTAATCAAATTTCAAATTGGTCATGTTTTTTATGATTCATGATGGATCGAGTTGAATTAATATTTTAGATGTGGATAGCCGACATTGAATGTTGTCATGCGACGTTGAATGTCAACATTCGACATTGAATGTTGATTCCCGACATTGAGCGTCAACATTTGACACTGAATGTTGATATCCGACATTGAGCGTCAACATTTGACACTGAATGTTGATATCCGACATTGAGCGTCAACATTCGACATTGAATGTTGCCATCCGATATTGAATATCAATATGCAACATTAAATGTTAATATCCAACATTAAATATAAACATTCAACAATGGATGTTGACATCCGACATTCAATATCGACATCCAACATTCAATGACAACCTCCAAAATTCAATGTTGACATTCAACACAAGAAACTATTCCTCCTTTTCCAAAAACACTATTCATAAAGTCACTCATACTTTAAATTATTCATCCTCCCTTTAATCCATCTCATTCACCGCGTTTCTCCAGATTTTCTCCCTCCTTTTTTCAATGACATAAAACATTGAGTCACGGCGAACAAATACCGGTGACTCCCTTGAAAAATGAATGAATCGTACACGAAGTGGAAAACCCACTGAAACTTTTTCGACTCTTCGTCCTTTTTTTCCCCTTTCACCCAAAAAAAAACCCGTTTCCTTTCCTCTCTCCCACATTGGTATGAGGCTGAATAACATCCTCCTGCTACTTGGCGACTACATGTATGTGTGAGTGGGAGGGGGAGGGGTAAAACGAGCGAGGGTAAAATTTTAATTCTCAACTTTCGGCAATAAGCAATTCCGGAAGAGATTCGGAAGTACGATAAATATTTTAATTTTCGGCCCGTGGTTTAACCGACCCGTGGAATAAAGAGGAACAAAAATTACCACGACGTACTTTACGCATGCATGAATAGGAGGGGAGGGAGGGAGCGAGTGAGGGTTCGACCTTCAGTCGAAGCCTCCAGTTTCTTCCAGTGTATTAGAATTTTTTTCTCCTTTCCTCTCTTTGCAATTCATTTTTTAATTTTGTCTTTTATTTTCACGCGGGTGAGGGGTGTGGATGGGACTACGAGATATCGTGGAATAGAGGAGAGGCAGTTAGAGAAGGATGAGAAGGGAGAGCGGGTGATACCCGTGCTCCGGCTAATTGCCAACCTCCAGGATTACAAGTCCTGCATTGGAGGCTCTCAACTCGAGACGATTCACTTCGCGGTTGCCAAGTATTTTTCATTTTTTCCTTCAGTCTTTTCATCTTACAGACCATACCGCCCTTATTCGAGCGGGTGAATGAAAAAATGGGAATGATTTTTTTAGGGGGTGAATTGACTCATGAGAAAGAAAATTTTCTTTAGAATATTTTTGAATTTGAGGGGGATGATAATTTTTGTAGAAGAAAGGAGTTAAAAAATTGATTTCAATTATATTTATGAGGAGCTGATCATGAAGTTGAGTTAAAAGAGAGGAAGGATGAAAAATCTTATTAAATCTTCAATCTCTTCTGATCTAATGATCCGATTTTGATGCGTTTACACTCATCTTAAGAGTGGAAAAGATATCTTCAAAATGGCGTTTGATTTTCCGAATTTCACTCTGCCAGTCGTGAATTATTAGAGATTGATTACAAAAAAAATTTCCCTCTTATTCTACCACTTCAAATATAATTATTTATAATTTTTTTCTTTGTTAGAAAATAAATAATACTAACCTGAAACCGTCGCATATCCCTGGGATTACCCGCATTCTTCAGGCAATTTTGATTGCACTTGAGGAAGAATTTCAAGAAAAATCTGAAACAAAAATAATGAACAACGATTCATTATTCCCGGATCGTTTTAAACAGTTGACAGAGCACTTAACGCTCTTTACCTCCAAACAAAAACTTAATTAGTAGAACAACCCTCCCCCCTGTCCCCCCCTCCACCGGAAAGCCCGGTTTGAATACTGCATAAGCCAATCGGAAACCCCCTCTCGTTGCCTACACCCGTTTTGTATTATTCAGCATTTCTCTAGATTAAAGCCCAGGCCACGTGGTAGCGTCGACCTTTAGGACGGTACGAAGGTTCAAATATCCACTCCGCTATCTGCTGCATACATTTAGATTTGCCAATTTCAATTGTGTCTGTATTTTTATTTTTCGTTAAATAAAAAATTCACTCCCTATTGGTGGAGTAAGGAGTACAAGGGGAAAGGATTATTGAAAATTCTGTGGATGGTGGTTATGGTTGATAGGAAGTTGAGGTTATAAAAATGCGCATGGATGAAATTTTTTCAATATTTTAGGAGTTGACATTCGACATTAAATGTTGTTATTCAATATTCAAAATCGATATTTAAGATTTTACCTCAACATTCAACGTCAATGTCCGACAGTCGATGTTGACATGAAATGTTGAAAGTTCGCATTCGACGTTTACATCCGACATTCAACGCTGATAACCGACATTAATCTTCGATATCCGACATTAAATGTGGACGTTCAGTATTGGACATTAAACGTTGATATCCGACATTCAACATTGAAATTCGACATTCAACGCTGAAATCCGACATGAAACGTTTAAATTTCGACATTCAACATCAGTATTCGACATCCAATATTAACATCCGACATTTAATGTTAATATCCAACATTCAATGTCAACATCCAACATTCAATGTTGACATCCAACATTCACCGCTAAAATTCAACATCCGACGCTCCCTTATTCAATCTCTAAATTCCGGTAACCTAAATCCCTCCAAAAATCGAATACTACAAATGACTTTCTGAAGATCGCTGACAAATTCTCAACGTGATTTTACCGAGTATTGAACATCTGGCACTACCAAACGTTTTCCAAGCCAGCTTTTCACTCCGACGTATACGACACGAAATAGCTTACACCCTGTATGTACTCCTAGAAACGGCGGGGGTAGAGAGTACAGAAGGTGCTAGAAGAGGAGAAAAATCTAATAGACTGACGGAATCGAGTTTGCTAGCTCCCCCCTCCCCAATAAGAAACTAACGCGATACTGGTAGTTGCCTCTCGCGCGATAGGAGTCTATCGCCCAGTGGATGCCATCCCCATCGTCACCCTCTGAAATAAAATCCAGTTCGCATTTGAATCAGCCCTGGGTAACGCAATCCATTAGATCCCCTAACAGCCAATACCGTCGGTGCGACGCGAATATACAGAAGGAAACGAGACGAAACTGAAACGCTCCCGAGAAAACGATGAGAGCCCAAGGATGTCACTGATCATTATTGTAACCTACTACTTGACGTCGTTATTCCGGGGAAAAAAAAGAGGGTGGGCAGGTATTTCTATGATATCCATTCCCTTAGTCCATCAGTAAATCCCTTTCATCTCACATCTCAATGTGCGTTGTGCTGGGAATCGGTGTTGACAGCTCAGGCTTAAGACAGTAATTTTCGAAGGTGATCTTTACTCTTCGATATCAACTCGCATTATTTTTGGAGAGAGGTAAATGAGATTGATAGAGGGGTTTTGGTACGATGAATGATGGAATATTTCTGTTTTATGGAATTTAAGATTGACTTCTGGCGAGAGGGAGATTTGATAATATTTTTACGAATATAATGAAAGGGCCTCCTGACAATATCCCGATTTTTGTCTTGATTTCCTCTTGTTTTGCAAAATTGCAAATTGACTTTTGGCGATGAAAAATTAACAGATGAAATAATGATTGGAGTCAGAAGCGGCGGAAGCGCGGATTGAGCTCATTCGATATTTTTTATGTGGACATCCAGTGATGACATTCGATATCGACAGGAGACATTCAACTTCTAATGTCGACATCCGACATTCAACGTTGAAGTCCGACATTCAGCGTCAACGTCCCACATGCAACTTTGAAATCCGACGTTAAATTTTGACATTGAAAATTCAAAGCTGACATTCACCATTTAATGTTGAGGTCCAACATTCAACGTTGAAATCATCCGACATTCACCTTTCATGTCCGGCATTAAATGTCCATAGTCGACATTGAATGTCAAAATTTGACATGGTCACATGACATCCAGCGTCGATGTCCGACATTCGGCTTCGACATCCGACATTAAATGTCAACGTTCACCATTGAATGTTGACGTCTAACAATCAACGTTGAAATCCGACATTCATCTCTCATATCTTTCATCTCCGATATTAAATGTCAATATTCGGCATTGAATGTCGACATTCGACATTATCATCCGACATTCAACGGTCCCATTTCACAAAATACTAAATCGACTCTTGTCCTTATCACAAAATTGTCGTACATTCCTAAACACCTGCTTTCAAGAAATCCAAGTAACAACTCGAAAAAAAAGAGTCGATGTTGCATTACCCGGTATGTGTCCTTTATCTCCTGTTGATACGACTCCTCCGGGTGGGTGTAATGCCGCTTCAGGCCGTGTTGGAATAGAGGAAAATGGTGGGGGTGGGATTGAAGGAGGTAGCAAACGGAAACTCCGGCACGCTCACCACCCCCCGATCATCCACTCCGATAAGGATATGTTACAATGGCCTTTGAATACTCATCCAGGCTCTTGGATAGTCATCTTAACTCGCTTTTCTTCAAACGGAATGAGTGGATTAAATTCAACCGTTAAAGAGAGGAGCCGTAAATAAGGATTTATGCCGTGTGTCTTATCCCGAATTTTAGTGAGAAATGGAAAAATAGGACAGGCGTAGGGGGAGGCGAGGGTTTAGTTCTCGAGCCCATCGAGTTCTCTCGCCGGAGGGATGACAATGGTCTCCCGAGGGAGGTGAAGCCTACACCCCATGCACGTCGCGGTAAAAAATCCTCCCTCATATGTACTCCGCACGGATCCCGGTATACTGATTGTTTCCAGTGGGTGTCTATTTCTCGATCTCCACATGTATTCTATGGATTCATTCCGATACAACTCCCATCCCTTCATTTCATCGTTTTTTCTTGCAGTTTATTCCCCTTTTTCTGATGGAAAATTGAGGGAATTCAAGGTAAAAGTAGGCGCGAAGGGAGGTATTTGCCGGGGGTATAGTGTAAAAACTAATGTCTTAAAGACGTTTTTCTTTAAGATATTAGACACAAACATGTAGATAGAAACAAAAGGGGAGGCTCGTTTTCAACTGAATATTCTAGTGTCAGCCTTATAGCTGGAGGAGTTACAAAAACGTCAACATTTCATTCTTTTTTCTTGCGGCCGAGTTCTAAGAAAAATATAAAAAAATCCAATGACGCAGAATACACAGATCTTGATTTCTCCCATCAATTTTTCAATTCTTTTTCTATTATTTTGACTTTTCACATGAAACACTTTAATTCCGCATTTTGAGATACTAAAAATGTCTCGAATTTTAAAATGCCAACGTCTTAGAAAAAACGGACAAAAGTGTCGAATTTCAAATACTAGCTGGTCTAGGGAAGAAAACGTATTTTAATATTTCAAAAATTACGCATTCGAAGTTAATAAACAGCTAAACAACATGAGGAATCGGGATCAATCATTAGATTATCAATTGAATTTTGAAAAATAATAAAATAACTGATAATCTAAATTTTCAATGAAATATGAATTACACAATTGATAATACGGAATTGTCAATTGACTATTGAGTATATAAATCTAAATTTCATAGGATTTTCGATGAGCCAAATAATCGACAATCTTCCGAACTCAATTATTGATTGACAAAATAATTCAGAATTGGAATAATTAATTGATGATTAATTTAATATTTGAAAAATTATTAATTCAAATTTCAACTTTATTTAACTTCCACGGAAAAATTTATATTTTGAAAAATATAGAAAAAAATATCTTAAATTGGCTCAATTTATATAAAAAAAATATGGAAAATACAGGAGGCAAAATGAGACGTATTGAAATCTTTTCCAATTGTCAATATCTTGATTTATAACTGACAATATTGACAATTAGAAATCACGAAACGTTTCATTTTGCCCGACTCTCCCCTAGATGTTTTCTATATTTTTTTATATATTCTTTATAAATCTGAAAAATATATGGAATTGGCCCATATTATATATATATTTTTTTATATTTTTCGATGGAGGAAAGTTTATGATTAATAAATTCATGATGTCTGAATAAAATGAAATCGCCAAAGTGGTAACTTTATTTTATTAAATTTCAGTTAATTCAATACTATTTCTATCCATTGCTCCTCCAGAAAGAATCGCCACGTAATAATTGTTTAAATTATTAGTCCTTCCATTATTCAATTTCCACGAAAGTTCCTGGAATGAACAGGTGAATTCCCGGTGTCTTGATCATTTTTTCGTGGTGAAATTGATAGGTGGGAGGTTAAAAAAATTAAAGGGCCCTGTGCAATTGGCAATTGCTAATTGGTACAACGTAGGTACAAATAAACGAACGTGCGAGAGAGTGGATGATTTATTGCAAGGTTTGATTGAATTGGATTCGAGTATTTGCCGCGCGTACTGCTAACCGAAACCCTCGTCGATATTTAACGCCGAAAACCTGTCCAGTCCTGCGTACACGATTTTATTCCCCCCTCCGTCGACTTTTTTTTTCGTTTGGAGTTTTCATCTGCGTCACTTCATATTTTGCATTTTTGTTTTGCTGCGGGAGGAGAATTGAATGCGCGTGTGTTGAGTTTTTTTATTTTTGATTTCTTTTCGTTTTGTTATAGTTTTTTTTCCCGGAGATTTAACGGAAATAAAAGAACAATTTGGGGGACAATTTGGGGGTCGGTTGTTTTTCGAACGATAGGCAGGGTTTGTAAATAAAATGTATGAATGAACCGGGGGCTTCCTATTCGTGCTGAAA